TAACCTACAGAAATTGAAGGCAAGACATATGCAACATAGATATCTGGCTAGATATAATTAGCAAGGGACAGATTACTGGAAGAGAAATAAGAATCTAAGATTAATGTCACATCATGTTACTCCTGATCTCAACACACACAAACAAAAAGCAAGGAAGCTAAATAGAAAGAGATTGTTAGATTGTAGCTAAATCAATTACTGTACACATGGAAATCAATCTTCAAAAATTGTTTTTCAATTTTCTGTGTCACTTTATTCCATAGGAGATAAGGAATGACTGGTTCTGTGTGAAATATAGTGATGTGGGAGACCAAGAGTTCACAGAGTTGATACTTATTTCTGATATTGCTGACACTGGGGTTGAGTATGATTCCTCCTTAATCTTAGTGGCATTGAGTAAGCAAGATGGGATCTCCAACGCTAGAACATAAAAAAATATGTAAAGAGCACTAAGAATTGTCAGATTCTATTAAATAAGCAAACAAACAAATAGATAAAGTTTTGTATCTACTGCTGCTGGTGAGCTAATTCACCCCTCCAGCTTCATGGTGCAAATCTACAGTAATGTTACTAAGGAGAAAACATAGATGAGTACCATATGGTCACTAATTCATTCATGGGTGTATTAATTTCTAATAATTTCTGTATATACCTCCATTGTCAGTAATTTCATAGGAGCAGTGAAATGGGGAAAATCTAGTGTCATAAACAAAAAGATTTTGTTGTTTTAAAAATAATTGAATTGTTCCCCCCCAAATGCTATTTTGAATCATACTTTCCTACCATAGCAGGAAAACAGAAACAGTACACAGAAGATGCACAGACGAGACACAGTATTAAGTTCTGCCCATCTGGAGACATCAACTGAATATTGAATATGATGATCTTGGTCACTTAAGGTAGAACTGTCACATCAGGCAAGAGGAACTGAAACTGGTGATTAGGGTGACAAGTGCTTGAGAGATATACAGGAATGAATGTGTTGGAGATAACAACTACATTAGCAGCAACTTACAACATAACTAAAATGTTCAAGATGTATCCCTTTCCTAAAAGAGTGCATGGAATCATTCAACCCCGTCATAGAAGGATCAATAAGTAACCCCCGTACCATCATCAATCATCACAGAGACAATACTGAGATGCTGACAGAATGAAAGAGAAAGGGAGGAGCATAGGGAAGGGAAAGAAGGGACAATTCAGAAACAGCATCTTGGTTAAATGCCAGCTGCAGTGACAAGAAAAGTAAAGAGCAACAGAAGGAGAATGGGCTAAGAACAATTTTGCCCTTCAGAGAACAAAATGACACTGTTTAATTGCTCAGAAGGTTTTCAAAATGAGGTGTCTACCTCCAACAGAGTGAAGATTAATCTTCATGGAACAGTTTGTATGATGAGTTGTTAGACGTCGGGAAGTACAATTTCAGATGAAGCACTTGATAGAATCAAATCAGTATTTTGAGCAAACCAGGGAAGTGAAATGTATTTACTGTGAATTAAAGTGATCCAGATTACTACACTGATGTCAGAGATTTCAAAACTCTATTATGGAGACATGTGACAGGCAAAAACCTTAATAGCTTCTTTGTTACCGTTCCTTCACGGATAACAGCATGAGTCATTATTAATCGGCTTCCTTTTCCTGTTCAGATTGCTGTGGGATTCTAGTTTAGTCTTCAAAAACTATGGGGAGATAAAAGTGCTTTTAATTGGTGTGGGCAGACAATGGATGGTAAGCATAGCATTCTGGAATTAAATTGTAGATATTCAGCCAAAGCTTAGAAAGACAAGTAAATTGAGTCTCTTATGAGCATCAAGTCTTATATACATGTTCCTGAAAGCTACAGACATGCTGCAGTAAGCTAGCCCCACTGAAAACAACACATCTGGAAGAAATACTACTGCAACAGTGTGAGTGAGTGCCCATTGTGAACGCTCTTAGAATAACAGAATATTCTCAGTTGAAAGGGACCCACATAGATCATCAAGTCCACATCCTGGTTACACACAGCTCTACCTAAATTGACCTCATTTGCTCCTCATACATTTTCTCCTCCAGACCCTTCACCATCCTTGTAACCCTCCTTTAGATACTCTTTACGTCCTTACGCTTTATGTCCTTCTTATATTGTTGTGCACAAACTGCACAGTGCTCAATGTGAGGACACAGAGCAAAGCAGGACAATCCTTTCCCTTGTCCAGTGGCAGTTCTGGCAACCAGGGTACGACTTGTCTTTTTGACTGTTGTCGCATGTTCAACTTGCCATCAGCCAGAACCCCCAAGATACCTTTCCACAGAGTTGCTTTCAGATGCCCGTCCCTGTACATATATACCAAGTGCAGAATCCAGCACTTGCTCTTGTTAAACTTAACGCATCTGGTGACTGCCCAGTCCTGTAGTCTGTCAAGGCCTCTCTATCTTCAGGAGAGTCAACAGCTCCTCTGTTTGCAGAATCACTTATAATTATTTTGTTAGCATACAATACCCATATTTAAATTTTTGATTCAGATTTATAGAATTTCAATCTGTCACTCACCATGGTGATTTATTTCTTCAGGGCAGTAAAAACCCTTCTCCTCCCATCGACCCCTCCACCCATTATGGCCACCTTGGAGAAGAAAGTAGAGTTGCTGTTCCTGCCTTACCACTTCCCTCCTCCCTCTCAAGCCGAGTAACTTTAAGTGACAGTGCTCCAGGAAGAGGTTTGCTGATGTGGACTGAGATAGCATACTTATTCCAAAGAAGTGTTAAACACATTATAGTGCCAGGCAGGCAGTGATGTGCAGACCTGCTACCAGAAAAAGAAACAGCTCTATATCAGAATCCATATCTATATCAGAAAAACAATTAAAATGGCTATCTGCTCTTCTTAAAAGGAACGTTTACACAATTTTCCCACCTCCCTTCCTCATAAAAAATTTAGTGTAGTCCTCTAGTGTAACAATTCAACTTGATGTCTGGCTACATCTCAGTTTCCAGAGGAGATACAAGCACCTTGCAGTAAAAGTCACAGGGAAGCTGTGATATTGGTCCTATGCTCAGTAAAGCACAGGGATTTTCTTGGTTTCAGGGATTCCTTCATGGAATTCGAGGAGAATATTTAAAACAGGTTGATTACTGACTATTTAGAGAGCACTTCTCTTTTCATACGAGATTTTCTTCAGATACAGTTAGCATTAACTAGGATTCTTCAAATCAAGATTAGCCTCTTGTAAACTAAAGGTTGGACAGCTCTGACAGGAGTTACTAACCAGAAAAGTAGGAGGATGACTATGAATGTGTGCTGTAAGTTATGAATCCTTATATAAGGCTTTCCTAATAATTGCAGAGGGTAAAGTATCTTCTCTGATTTTTGTTTTTTTTTATTTGATGGGGACATTATTTGCTTTCTCATATTACAAAGCAAGCACTTTAACTTTTGATATACAAACGTCTACTTTTTGAATGAAAACCCCTTGAATATATGCTCAGCAAGTGATCAAATGTGTGTAGCCTAAAACCAAATCTCAAAGCTACTAGATCACTATCTGCCCATTTTCTATTATTTTATAACGTTATCATTACTGTTTTTGAATGTGACAAATATTAATGCCTACGTACAGTTGCAGAGACACCAGGGTAAAAAGGTGTATGTCTTTTGTCAGATGATGCAATGGCTCTTACTGATTACTTAATATATACTAAGTAAAAAAAAAATTACATCTGTTGTAGGAATGGATGAGGATAGTTGCCTTCAGATGGAAAGGCATAGGAGGAATCACCAAAAGAACCAGAATGTTTCCAACAGGGTTTCAAAAGCATCTGCTCAAGACGACTGTAAAGATACTCAAGGTCAAACTCTAAACTTGAAAGAAATGCTTCTCCAGTGAGCCATAATCCTCATCTTATGATAACTCTCCTTATTTCACAGATTAAGGCCTAGATTGCTTTGATTATAGCTGAAATCTAATAACTGAAACTTTAGAAAAGGCTGTTAGGACCTATATTAAAATTCAAGGCATATCACTTCTTTTGTTGGAAGGAGCCCAGATGAACTGAGAGAAGAATAAGGAGGGATGGGACTGGAGGGGTGAAAGTGAAACAGTTTAACTATCTTCCAACAGTAAGATAAGCAAAACAATTAAAAGGATTGTTATCCTGTAATTACCAGAACACTCTATATTACAGAGGGAGCTGAAGCTTTGTTGCACAACAAACAGTCATGCTTGTAATTTAAGATGAATAATGAGCCAGATGCATGAACAAGACTCTATTAAATTGTTATCACAAGCAGACGTGTCCCTCATTGATTAATGACTGTGTGGCACCAAGGAAAGGAATTCCATTTCCAAGTGTGGATCATCGTCATCAGTGTTGCCAACGCAACCATCTGTCTGCTTTTGACTTACCCCTGAATGTGGCAATTAAACCATTACATGTGGAAAGAAAACAGTGATTATTTGCTTATGTGCAAAACTGAAGGCTTTTAAAGAATAAAGGAAGCCAAATTTCCTTCCCAAAATAAATGCACCTGAGCAAAATCATATTCATTGCAGGGGAGCTGGATTAGACGACCTTTAAAGGTCCCTTCCAACTCTGAGAATTCTATGATTCTGTCATTTTATGATCAACTTCTCAGTTTGAAACCAGTCTCTTATTAAGTTTCAAATTTGGTGTTAATCATAAAGCCTTGGTAAGTTTCATATGCTAGCAGAAAGTCATCAGAGTCAATGTAAAGACACAAATAAAAAATCAGGTGTGAAAAATACTTACTTTATAGTAAATAAAATTAACGTGTAGAAGGCACATGTAAGAAAACACCTGAACACTCCTTATACAGACAGTATTTATATAGAAAGAATGCATGTGCATATACCCAATTAGATGAGCCTATAGCTCACATAGGACTTGTCCAAAATGTATGTTTGACCCTGGATTGTTTTTGTTTTGCTGTTGTTAATGTGAGATCTACACATAATATTCTACCGAGAGCAGGTACAACCTAGCTTCTTACAACTTACAAGCTTCACGGAGTTTTTCCTTGTCATAATGTAGCCCTTCATATTCTTGCAAATTAATCCGGTTCACTCTGATCCGCAGGCGATCAGGGATGGAATGAGGACTGCAAAAAAAAAAAAAAAAAAAAAAAAAAAAAGAAGAAGAAGAAGAAGAAAGCTTCTTAGACAAACTTTTCCATGGAAGAGCAGAAAATAAAATACAATATGAATTTTAACCTTTGGTAAAAGAATAATAAGAGCAAGCCTCTTCAAAACTGGGCCTGATCCTCACTGGCCCACCACTGTGTTTTTACAAGATCAGGACTACAGACTACACAGAATAGATGATGTATCTTAAATTACAAGCAAAATCAAGAAGCCTGTTTACTGTCTGGGTGACCTGGAATTGCAAAGGCTTTTCTGAGCTCGTCAATCTCTATATAGATATCCTTTCCCATTACAGATGCCTTTTTGTACATCCCTAAAGTAGGAAAATTCACAGAGCTTTGCTTCAGGGTGCTGACGCTTTCTTTGGAAGCCTCACAGGACTTCTTTTTCTCTGTCCACCAGCACATTCACTTGGATCTCCAGAGGATCCTCTTTCAGTAGCTCTGTTCCAGGGAGCAGGAAACAAAATGTTGAGAGCTGGATTGCCAAACTGGAGTCCAATACACATATGCCAGAGAGACCATAAAAAGAAGTTTGAGTACTTCGTTTCTACAGATTTCGGCCAGATTTATATGCCTTGGAGGTCTGCATACTTTTGAAACCTTTCATGGGTTCCTATCCATAAATTTGAGTGGCCACTAACTGATAGACAGTTGTTTTGAAGAGCTTTGTTTTGATTTCATGCAAGTTTCCATCTTACTGTTACTGTTACATTTTGTTTAACTGAATGCTATGTAAACTTGGCCACATTAGCATTTTCCACTTGTAAAGGGAGAAAGATAGCTTGTGTATTATAATACACATATAAAGTGTCTGTCCTGACAGTTTCATCCCACCTAAAATTAGATTCTTCATTCTGAGTTTGCACCAAAAGATTGTCTACTTTCACTTTGTTTTAATCTATTTAAAAACAGAGCTCTTAATGCACACAATGCCTTTTGAAAGTTAAAATTCTATGCACTGTCATAGACAAGCTTATCGTTTGCTTTATTTCAGTTTTAAAATTTTTGACCTTCAGGATTGCCACTTTAACTGCCAATTCACACTCCAGAAATGTAATTCTTTTTTTTTTTTTTTTTTTTTTTTTTACTTTTCAAGCAAGTAATTTTCTTTTTGGCCTGAAAATACTACAGACCTAACACATGGTTTGCAGAAGAGCCACAGAGATCATAATTACCATGTATTTCAGTTTCCTTATTGTATACTTTCTCTCTGTTGACATAAATGCTCTGCCACATATTGACAGATGAAAGTAAAGATTGAAAATCAAGTACCAGTATAAAAATAACTCTACTGACACAAGTACTTCTAGCCTAAAAATTGATAAAGGATAATGAATTAAGGGTGTCTCAGTAATTGAGGTCTAATGCAACAGGTTACAAGAAGCTGCAGTCCTTCTGTTCTGAACATGAGTTTCTGTATTAAAATGAAAATTCATAAGGAATAACTTAGAATACATCATGAATGCTAACAGTGACTGCAAGACTGATACATTCAGCAGTACATAGGCTGCTGTAGGTGTTTTCTGCGGTGATTAACAGGGACTATTGGGTAAAAGTACTCCAGGATACAAGCAAACTCTCCATATTTAAGATAAGATTTTGCTTGACATGCAGGGTGATAACTCCCAGCAAAGCCTCAGGGAACAGCTTAATAACTCACGTGCCATTAGGTCAGATCAGCACTCACTACCTGCAGTCTATAAAGCTGGCTAAAGGAACAACCAAGGAATATTACTGCATGCAAGTAAGAGGAAAGGTGCATAGATGGAAGAATGTAATTGCAATGTCTGACACTGTTTTTCCCCCTTAGACAACTTTAAATGCCACATTGCTGGATTAGAAATGGACACAGTCTGAGAAATTATGTTTCCTTCCCAATTATACAAAACACAAGTTTCAAAAATAAAAATTGTGGGAGCTTTTATTTTTACTCAAGAAAAGATAATAAATAAATAAGAAAACATAGGAACCTAACTACATAGGGAAAAAAAAAATAATGCAGTGAATGTAGTAGGGTTCATGAAAATGACAGTCTGAGCACTGAAACGTGAAGTCTTTTATGTACTGGTACAATACATGAAGAAGCCATGCTGTTTTTCCCATGGTGTTCTACCACCAAACATTATTATGAAGGTAGCTCAGTCTTCCAGCAGATAGGTTCACGAACTGGGGATTAGTGGTAGGTCTGGGGTAGTGACAGACTATGAATGATGACTCCTCTGAGCTCTGAGCTGGGAAGAAAGGCCATAGAGTGACAGAGAAATTCAGCAATGTCTTATTTCTTCTGTGACATCTGAATGTGCTACAAAGATAGCTATTCCTGCTAGGTCCCTAATTAAACTAAATGTAATTAAACCAATAAACCGTCTCAAACCATTGTTTCTCTTGAAACCAGAACCAAATCTATACTGTTCGGCTGAAGTCTTAACAATCCAAACTGGAATTTTATTGAAAAAATGTTTTCCATTCCCAAATACCAAAAAGTGTGTTTACCAGAAGTTGTTACTCAAATAGGACTTGCTCAGTCTAGCACTGGTGATGTTTGCACTCCAAACAAGAATCACGCTATATCTGTTTCCCTACTCCTTCTTTTCCATTTCTTCCTCGCTACAGAGCTCATCAGCGTATGATGCTCAGGCTTCCCCCTTCCTCTCTGTGCTGTAGTGCGCAGCCCTGCTCTCCATACCAGACGGAAAAATGGAGAGAAACAGAACTTGCCATTTTGCCCATTTGAGAAGTTTAGCTAGCCTAGCCATAAAAGCATAATCCGAGAAACAGTTTTCTATAGAAAATAAACAATTTTAGAAACAAATGCTAAGAGGCCTTTTCAAAGCCTTTTATGACCAAAATCTGAGGTTTTGGTCATAATAATTTGCAAATACTCTTCACTCAGAATATGGTTGCTCCCTGACATCATACTGTCTTACTGAAATTCATGACCTATGCAAAATAGCTTTGGCTCTAAAAAATTCACATAGCTGAATATTCACTCCTTATGATATCAGACTGGCATTCTACATGGTGGAATACTGTCTTTATGAACCAACTGAATAGCTCATTCACTCACATAACTCATGCTTTGCACACAGTTCTATTAACTGCAGTTGAGCAGCACAATTCCGATATCAATATTCTTGTAATCATCACACTCTATATATAGGAATCCTCACCGTTAGACAAATTGTGCTATTCCTCTAGATTAGACATACTGAGCATATTCAGAAACCGCAAGGCTCAAGGACACAATCATGTCTACGTGAAAATAAATACCATGGTGAATATCACTGAAAACAGATGTTAATGCTGTCTGTATTAATAGAAATGGATGTTATACTGTATAAAACGACTTGCCCAACTGTAAGGATGGGATGAAAATCATTCCAGATCGAGCAGAAAAAAAACTATAAATAAATAATCACAGACAGCAGCATTGCAAATCAATCTGACGTATTTAAATATTTTTGCATTACTTATTCTTCAAAATAGTGCATTACATAGTCAATGAAAATCAATTTAAAGTACAGATGAATGAATTCCATTGCTTCTTAAATAACCTAATTAAGAACCTCGTTCTCCACACAGGTCAATTCACAGAATTACATCCTAAAGGCCATACGTCCACGGGATCGTGAACACAGAGTCAGGTCAACTGAAACATTCTGCTCATTCTTGTTGAATAGCTATAATGGTTTCAGTTAAACACAAGCCTAAATATCAGTCTCCTCAAGTCAGGAGCATAAGTAAAATATTTTACTATTTTGAATTTTATATGACAGACTTTTTATTAGTGTGAACCAGAAGTGCACATTTGTGGCATTATTTGATAACAATCTAAATGAGCCTTGCAGAACAAGCCATGAAAGATGTTATGAAGTCCCCTCAGAATTATTTTAATTCACCTTCATCAAAAAGTATATAATTTCAGTAATCAATACTTATTTTCATTCATTTTTTAGGTTGAAAAATATCTGTAAAGTAAAAGAAAATACTATTAATTCTATTAAGCAAATAGGATTTCACCTTTTCCACAAGAATATAGAAGACATAAACTCTGAATAATTCTCATTTTAAGGAAAATAGCATGCTTTCTGGAAATTCTTAAAACCTGGAGACAGTCATAAGAAAAATAGCTTTTGTATGTTTAAAAGCCTACCCTCTCTGTGAGAAGATATTCGTGCTATGGAACCAGTTGTTGTATAGAAATAGGTCTTAGAAATTTTACATCATCCTGAATAAACTGTTCATAAGGCGAACTCATTTTTAACATGCACACACAACCACCCCATCCTTGCTGAAAACTGCCTACTGGAGAAAAAATATGCATTTGTTTCCTTCCTACATCTTAGCTGTAGAAAATAAATAAATAAAATCAACACAACCTTTTCCAGCACTTATGGTTCAAACTCACAGAAGTAGTAGCACATACCTAATTCTGAGATTATCAACAGAACCTCATCTACTTCCATTCAACAAGAAAACCCACTCCGCTTTTCCCATAACTATGATTTTTTCCTCTCACCCCAATAGATCTTGCAGCAACTGGCAAGACAATGTCAGCCAACTTGGAGCACAGCTGCATTCTTAAAGAACATGTTGTTAGGAAAGAGAAAACAGGCAGAGGAAGTCTGGGTCTTGCTCTTGGTGCTCCTGCGTAGCAGGCAGGTAGCACTGCTATGCCACCAAGCTGATAATACTGCAATGATAAACTTTTAAATTCTATATGCCTCAATCTCCATATAATTATTTATAAAGTCTGTGATACATTTCTTATTCTTTGTGTCTGCATGGAGGAAGGAAATAATGATGATGATAATAAAAATGGTCCAACAATTCTTACAAATTTCTGACAAATTTCTGATAGGTCTTCCAGAATACATTCCTCATCAAACTACCCACGCACAGATTTTAATATGATAAGGCAAACAGCAAAGGAAGCTAAAATCTCCTCCTGCCCTTCCCTTGCAAAAATAAAACTTAGAGAATATCACACTCCTCTGAGGCACGTTTGCAGTGACAGATTAATGAATTACCTATCTCCTAATGAAGAAATAAACATGCAAAACTAATTGAATGTTCCAGTGTTTAGAACAATTGGAAAATGGAACACAACAACCAGAGGAGAAAAAGATCTCTTACTTTTGAGATCTCATTGGAAAATCTTGCAAATTATACATTAAAAATAAATGTGCTTTTGACAGCTTTTATCTGCTTAAAACATAAGTACTTCTTCAATAGACCAAAATAATCCACTTTCTTCTGATGGACACCTAACAAGCACACCCACAAGCTCCACTGCAGAAACACTGTAGCTTTTTCCCTTCTGTTTGTTGAATTATACCCCAGATAGGTCAGGTTAACCCAGTGGTGCTTAGCCTTTCACTCTTTTTTTTCACCTTGTAAACGTGCACGTGTTTTGCTGTATAAAAGCTGGGCCCACCCATACATTTAAAATACAAGCCCAAGTGCCAGAGAGAATCCTGTCCTTCATTTTCCTTCTCTATCACCAGGCAAGCTCTACTCCTCTCATGTTTTGCATTCCCAAGCACCATGGATTCTCTGACAGCAACTATCCCAGTGAAGGAGCTCACCTGCCAAACAGGAAACTCAATTTCTAATAATTTCTTTAACAGAAAAAAATGGAAAATGTATACAAACACTTTCATTCTTATTTATGCATTTGGAGAATAGCTTGCTGTGTAACACATTCTCCCCTTTTGCCTCATTCCCCCATTCAGACGATTCTCACATTCAACCCAAAACATCAGGATCTCTAAATACAAAAATCTTTTCCTTTTATCCTTTTGCTATTCATAGAGCCTGTATGCCATGCATACAGATACTATGTGTGCATCCTGCTGTGATCATCACTCTGTCAACTCTATTGAAGAGTTGAATCCCTTTACAGATAAGGCAATATTTGTATTTCCATTTACAAAGATTTTGCAATCAAAAAGAAAAAAAAAAAAAAACAGCAAATGTACTATCCTACAGACATCCTTCTTATTTCTAATAAACGCAGCTGGAAAATGGAAGTCTCCCTTTGTTTTGAAAGGGACTTGATTAAAAATGCAACACTTGTACGTTCTTGTGCGCCCCTCTGCAAACATTTGAAACAGATCACACTATAGTTTCACTGTCTCTGCAACAAAGACCATATGTGCCAAATGATTTTGGCTGCCCCAGATCCCCATGCATACACTGCTGTAGAAAATGTGGAATTTATCTAATAGAAGCTGTATCTATCACTGGGACACCAAAGAATATTCCATGCTGTTCAGTACAAAATGTAGCTCAGGCTCACATATTGCTCAACAAGAAAAGGAACATTTGAATCTCAAAGCCATCACAACCCAAATCAAATTTACTTAATACCTCATGGGTTCTTATTTTAATTTGCCAGACACATTAATTGACAGCCACAGTGTAGCAGCATGTTTAATCTATTTTTACAGATGTTAAGATACAGAGTATCTTTGAGTTATAAATTAGTTTGGGACTCATGAATCTCTCTGCCTGCTTTATTCTGACAATTGTTATCAAATGAGGCATTCAGAAAAACTTTATCAAAACTTGGAGGTCATCTCCCAAAGGATATCCCTCAACTTGGAGACAATTCTCCCCGTCCCAGACCCATGGCATGCTTAATGTTCTGTGTAAGCAATAAAACTTATCTCAAAGGTTTTGCAGAGGCTTGCTTAGGATACTAAATCAATATGAGAGAAGTTTTTTGAATTAGTTTTTGTACCACAGCAGAGTACAGCAAATATGATACACGGGGAAGGCACACTGATTTGGAAATCTTTCCTTGTTTGCAAAATAACAAGGAGGAACTTACAGCTTTCTAAAATTTGATGGAATCGCATAATGGTTAATGCTGGATGGGACCGAGACCGCTGGAAATCATCTTGTCCATCTTTTTTTGCTCAGTGAGGGACAATCAGAGGCACTAGCCCAAGACCATGTCCAACAGCTTTTGAGTACCTTAAGTGAATGGCAGCTTGTGCCAGAGTCCAGTCACCACCACAGTACAAACACTCTCCCTTATGTTCACACTTCCCTGTATGTTCAGATAGCATCTCCTAAGTTTCAGTTTGGACCCACTGTCTCTTGTCATCTCACTAGATACCACTGAAAAGAGCCTGGTTTCACCTTTTTCACATCTTTACATCATCACAAATCCCTACCCTCAAGCTTTCCCTTCTTCAGCCTGATGAGTCCCAGCTCTCCATCTTTCCTCAAGGTTCCTTCGTCCCTTAAGTACCTTCATCAGCCTTAGTTGGATTCTCTCCAGCAGTTCCACGTTCCTTGGACTGAGGAGGCCAGTACAGAAGCCAGCACTCAAGATGTGGCCTCCTCCTAACCACAGCTCAGGATACTATTAGCTTTTTTCACCAGGAGGACACGTTACTGGCTCGTGGTTAACTAGTTATCTACCAGAACCCTTAGGTACTCATGAAAATTTTTCTTTTTATAAGTATTCAATCAATTTTCCCCCAAAATCTTTGGCTTGTTGAACATTTATATTTTGTCTATTACAACTGCTCTATTTTCAGAACAGAAAAGCATTGGTTGGTTCTGTTTTTACACATACCATTGATTTTCTTATATCATGAAATAAGAATCATGCTTGAAATCAAGTTTCTGCTCTGAATATCTGGACTACTAGCTCTGGAATTTGCTATTTTTGGTCATGTATCTCCAATTCATTACTTTGATAATCCTGTTTGAAAAGACCAGTAAAGCAAGACAAGAGGAATGCCAACACAAAGCAAAACATTTTGGGGCATTTTTTTTGACCAAACAGTCAAAAAGTATTTCTGAAGCCAAACTATATTTCTTGAGTTGATATATTAAGCTGTTAATTTCATTTTACTTCTTAACTATGAACATAGAATTTTTCATAATATCGCATTTCTATAAAGGGGATGAAATAGAAGATACTCACATACAGTTTTACAAGTAAGTGGCCAATTCACCACTGCAACTGTATGCTTCCCACTTTTAACCTGGCCATTATTTTCCACGACCCTGCTCAGGTGATAACGGCTAGTGGTGATTGTGATGGCTGCATCTGACTTAAGCAGTTAACCATCTGTGGCAGTCATGATGGATACAACTGATCATGATGGCTGCATCCAGCTCAATGTGGATTCATGGGAAGCATTAAAGAATAATACTCAAGAGCTAATTTGAGCTATGCGTTCGCAGTGCTGGTCAATGTCCAAATCAAGTCAAATTTGGAAGAATGTCCAACTGATGCCAAAACTGGAAGAAACTACCATCTGCAATCAGTATGCAAACACGACTATGAATCAATCATCCCACCCCAAAAGAAGTGAGCGGCCCAAGAGCCCATTGAACTCTCCTGCAAGACAGCAGTCTGCATGACAGGACATCTCCTTGAGTAGGGACACTTCTTAAGGTTACACCGGCTTCAGAGATCCCTTGACACCAAGAGATCCTCAGTACTGTTTGCTAAGCTTTGTTTGCCTTGCTAAGTTTATAAATTAGATTGACCGTGCACGTATAATCCTTTAGACATAAACTATTGACCAGGTCTGAGACTAGGCTCATTACGTCTTTAATTCAAGGAATTTAGTAAGTCAAGGTATCCACTCATGATTTAGTGGGAGCGCTGCCTGGATGAAAATCTTGTTAAGTCACCCTTACTTACAATTAATCTGTGTTAAATCACTGCTTTATATCAATAAATATGTTGCTGCTTCTCTCTCATAAGTGTATAAATCTGTTCACAACAATTGGATTTTAAATATTAGTCTCTTGGATAATGTAGCTTCTATCTAAGCAAGTTACTAGAAGAGAGTTACTAGCAATCAAATTAATACCATGGTGGGGCACCTCCATCTTGAATGCAGCTCCAGCCAATACCATGCCACTCCTTTGGGGCGCTAGTTTTCTGTTTTGATCGTTTTTATTTGGAGATGTTTTATGACCGAGTTTGTTCATACTGTGATTTTTTTTTTTTCTTTAAGCAAGGAAAAAAGCCTCTTTATCTAAACTGTTTTCAGGAGTGGTCCTAAGGACTTGTATGTCAAATTGTACTCTTGGTTTGTCATGGTCAGAATCACCAGACCTGCCCTGGTCATCCAGCTTATGTACTGTGTATTGGCATCTTTACAGGTGAAGCCGCTGCCCCACATCTGGCATGCTGTCACTCTTTTGTAACTGGATTTTACTGTTTTACTGTCTTGTCTCCTGGCTGAAAAACACATAGGAGAACAGCAGAAAATTACAGAACCTTAAAGGTAGAAAAAAGCCAGATACTCACACAGTGAAGGAATCGGGGGGAGCTGAGACTCTCCTCAGGTCAGCAGACTGCACTTTATGGATACTATAGGCAGTGGGAAATGAGTGGCCAAGAGAAAGGCAGCACACAGTGTGGACAGACAAGGAAAAAAGCAGGGGAGAGGTGGGAAAAAAAAGAGAGAGAGAGAGAGAGGGAGGGGGGGGAGAAAAAGAGAGAGAGAGATAGAGGGAGAGAGAGAGAAAAAAAGATTGGGAAGAAAGTGGAAGAGAAGAAAGAGAGACATACAACATTTAAACAGAAACAAAAGGAATGTGTCACATGAAAGTTGAATGAAAATACATGCAGAGCTCCAAGGTCACACTAGGAAGCCAAGAGCAACAGAAGACATGCAAATGGAGAACAATATTTCTACATGACACTTCAAAGCTTTCTGAAAACAAGAGCGAGGAGGACAAATGACAAGCTAGGTAAACAGCTATACAAAGACTGGGAGCCCCAGGATATGTGTTCCACAGGCACTGAAAAATTCAAGGCAGCAGACTTTGGAAGCACGTCCAGAAATGCAAACAAACATCAAAGCCAAGATCTGAATAAATGCCGTTGTCTCCAAACAAAGTCAAAATCTGAATGGATAGAATTGTCTGCAAAGTTTGGTCAACTTCAGTTAATTTTAAGAAAGAAAAATACCCTTGCTAGAGATTTTGTATCCACAATGGAAAACTGCTGTCTCCATCCCTCCTTCATGTACTTTAGGGAAACGTGCATTTTTTATAGTCTCCCAAGACCTACTCTTAGTATTTTTATTTAAATAATCCCTTTGTTTCCTTTAAGTGAATGAAACACTGTTTTATCGATAAACTCTTCCCTCTTCTCTTTTTTATATCACGAAGACTGTTTCTTCCATTCTTCCTCAACTCAAACTAAAAGCCATCTTTTGGGGGTTTGTACAGTGATCATTAACTAAAACCTACTGACTAGAATATTGAATTGTAGTTTCTAATCAGAAGATTATTCCTGGAAAATCACACCACAGTTTCTCTTTTAATTCCAGAAATATTTTGCTTTTATACCACAACACTACATTCTTGGCTTGATCAAGCTCTCATGTTCTCTCTTTCGCATATTAACCATGATCAATAAAGGAGATTCGGGAATTGGAATTTAGCTGCCAAATCTTTAAAGGGAAGGAGATTAGGAATATAATTTACAAAGTGAAGGGCAAGGGGGAGGGGAAGGGGAGGGGAAGAAGGGAAGGAAAAGGGAAAGGGGAAGGGTCTGCTAATGTCACTGCAGAAAGATTTGTTTTCACTGGTACATTTTGCAGCCAACGGGGAAAAACAACCAAATAAATCTGCCTTTTTTTCCACAGTCCAACTATCTGCCTTGTTTCAATCCACAACTAAATGTCAGCAGTATCACCTCATTGTTAATATTCCTTGGACTTTGAAAATTGCTTCTCGATTGAAACACTTTACTGGTTTGTTACTTATCTCTATTGTAGACTTAATGCATTGTAGGATGAGAAAGAGATTATACCAGCCTTTTAACAGCCTCCATTAGAAACAAACTAGAAGAAGCATTCTATGAAGAAAAATTAGTTAACTAAATACATTTGCCAATGGTTTCCTCAGTTCAGACAAAATTTGGCACAGCATGTTGACTTGTTCCCTGATAGCTTACTACAGGAAATGGATGCTCCTTCAGTTCAAGTAACTCCACAGTAGAAGATCTCTTCCTTAATTTGATTGCATGGTCAATGTTTTATTTAATTATTTTAAAAAACTAAGAACTTTTACCTTTTCTAAAATTCTGCTAAACTTTCCCCTACACCTTGAGGAAGTCAAATTAAGAGATAAAAAACCCTCAGCAGGAAGAAATTTCAACCTTGAAGATTTGTGTAGAAACATAAGGCAATGTCTGTGCAATTATTAGGTATAAAAGCACAACAGTGGGAAAACAGAGAGGAGAAAAAAAATAAAAAATAAAATAAAATAAAATAAAATAAAATAAAATAAAATAAAATAAAAAAGCAGGTCAAACAAACAAGCTTTAACTCATTTTTTCCCCATATACAAGTGTCCTCTCTAGAATTATCTACATGTTTTGAAAGAGAACAACTAGAGTCAGGAAGATGGGCAAGTCTGACAGTCAGAAAAGAATCATTTTTCTAAAGCCCTCATGCTCACAAGTGACAGAAGTTTGGAGTTTCTGTTGCCTCTCATCTGCACTAAATATGGGTTCTTCAATTTAAAATACTGTTATTCCCCAGAAATTAAAAGGCATCCACAAAACAAACAACAAGCTCACTACCCTTTCCAAATCCCTTCTCTTCAAAACTCCCAGAACAAATAAGAATAGGATAAGAAAACAGAATCACAGTGTAAAAATTCTTAAAAATAAAATAGTTTTCCACTTATTACATTGGACTAGATAAAATTTCAAAGAACATTCCCACTGTTCTCCTATCAACACATCAAGGCTGGCAGTAACAGCTCTGAGTTACTGTGACAGAAAATAATTTTAAAAGCACTTTTCTTGCAAGTTGCTCAGGAACAGTTCTCCAACAATTGCAGAGATAGCACCAGACCTACTCACCAGCCTCAAACATCTAACATTCAGGTGACAATCTTAAGAAGAAATGTATATATATATATATATATATATATATATATATATATATATGTGTGTGTGTGTGTGTGTGTATATATATATATATATAAAGTATAAGAATTTCTGGAAGTCTTCAATGGACTGAGAGTTAAGAAGTATAAATACACATTTAATCAAAAGCTTTCTCTTGTGAAATACTACAAATCTGCATCATAGTGAATTAACTTCATAAAATCTTAAATGCCTCCTGGAGTTTAACCTTTAACATTCCATTTACTTTTTGTCACAATAGAATATTCAATTCCTCTTTCATTCCCCTTTGACACTTGTTAGAAATGTACATTCACACATATATAGATATATACACATTATTTCCAACGCATGAAGCTGAAATTATAGTAGTTACCAGATCATCTGTATTTTTCCAAAACACAGATGTGCACACATATCTTGATCAAATAAGAAGACTCAGATAGCATCAAAACACATTGCAGCATGTTCAAATGAGGTTAAACCAGAAAGAATATCGTCTTCACCACTGACATCATTATGACTGCATTTCTCTACTACTGTTCAAATTTGGATATCAAAAACCAAGCGTAGCCATGCTGCTTATAAGATCAAATTAGCAGATCAAATTATCAAGAATTTTCTTTAAAAAAGCAAAATATAAACATTTGCATTAGCTCCCATCAGCGTAGGAAGAGATACCTCAGGATTGTTCTCTACCAAATTCCAGATTTCAGAAATGAAGGAGCTGAGGTGGCTGGATGAAATCAGGCATCACTGCACACAGGCAATAGTCTGCTATTCTTCACTACTCAAGAGCAATGAGTATGCCTTATGCATTTTCCTGACAAACAGCAATTGTACATTACAGATATGTGCCTCTACTGAAGCTTAAAGCATTAGTCTCTGAAAGAGAACACCATGTGCTAAACTGAATAGGAAGATGCTGGAAGTAACCAAGGAGGCTTTGATTACATGAACAGATTGACAAACAGAAGATGACATGACACTTCTAAGGGCTGAAGACAAAGTTTGAAGAGAAGCAATGTCTTTCACTGCATGACAAAGACTGAAAACACAGACAACCTTTAAAATACCTGAAGAGGTGTGTGCCTGAGACCTTGCTGACTTTTCCAATTATATTAGTCTAATGCAAGACGTTACCTCTCTTCAAAAACACTGCTTCACTTATTTCCTGTCACCGTAACAGCTGCAACAGCAAAATACCCAAACTCAGCTCCCCAGAAAAGTGAAATCTTCACTGCATGCTTGGATGCTTGAACGAACTATGATAACTTGATAACTTCAAGTTTTTAGGCAGTACCCATCTGTATAGCAGACAGATTGTTTTGCATCACTTGAATACTTGGAAACAGCAAAGGCACTTACTATGCCTCATCTTAGCAAAAATGAAGAGCTTGTATATGAGAATTACAGCTCTACAAAAATAAAGTTAATTATTTTATTTTATTTCATAAGCATTTTCTTAAATTAAAATGTTGCTTGATACTTAAAAATAAGATTTAACTATGAAAAAGAAAGTTATTTCAGTCTTGTTTTCCTTGCATGTTCCCCATTTCCTGTTATTTTTGCTTTTCTTTGTTCATCCTTTCCACTGCTTGTGCTACCTCCATCTTATGCTATGCATTTTCCTTCTCTGACTATATTCCCCTATCTTTTCCCTAATCACTGTTTCCCTAATCCACCAATCCAATCTTCAGTAGTGTAATCTCCTTCCATTGAGCATGGAAACCAGAGGAAGAGTTACAGTTTTAGCTAATTCCGACAGGACTTTCTATTTGGCTTTCTGTACTGGAGAACGATTCCCTACAAAGTACAAATATCCCTTTCCATGCCTCCAGACCCCTCTCCTTTAGGAGTCCAAGGCAGCATGTTCCCACACTTGAAACTGCGAGATGTCCTGAGTAGTTCTTGGTTGTGGCAGTTTATTAGAGTCTTCGATGGAGACTAAAAATCAGGCTGATAAAGTTCAGAAAACAAATCATAAGAAATTTAAGGGCTAATACCATGTACATGCGGAGCCAACATAAGCCAAGAGGCGCAACACTGAGCCTTCACATACCTCTCTAAATAAATAACTAAAAGATACAAGCCTTCCTAAAAGCAAGGCAGCAGGGAATCCAGAAGGTAAAAGAACAAAAGAAAGCCAGGAAATTATTTACAGTAAAGTAGGAAGAAAGTTCAGGATATGTGATTTCTTTTATTTTTTTTTTTTAATGCACTGCAAGTTCAATACATGCAAATTCCATGACTGAATATGCTGCCTCAGACAGGCCTCCTGGCATTAGGATATGCATGCATCCAACTCACTCATTCAACAAAGGCATCGACGTTCTCCTCTTGCTCTTCTGCACCATGTTGGCTTGGTTCCTTAAGGAGATCCGAATGAGTGAGGGAGCCAACCGACAAGGTTCACCATCCACTTGCATGGGGATAGACTTGTATGTTAAAAGCGTCACCTCACGGCACTGGTGCAGCCTCTCTCCATGACCACCCACTTGGAGAGCAGCCTTGGGGGAAAAAGAAGTTAAAAGGGAAGGAGAAAGACACCTCAAAACAGACATTTCAGGCAATTTAAAAAATATAAGATGCCAACAATGAGTATTAGTCAGCATCACGTGTGTAAAGCATTCACATCAAGGACAGTGGAGACAGTGGATGTACTTTCATTCAAAAATTGAAAAGCAGGACTTAACATTTCACAAAGAAAACTGATAGGCAACAAGCAGATGAAATAGGACAGTTACCTATCATATGCATCATGTCTCATCAATTTCTATATGTCAAGTATATTTTACACACTAACACAAAATATGTATACACACACATGATCTAATGTGTTTCTTCTTAAAGGTTTTGATACATTTTGTTGGTTTGTTTTACACCAACAATAATGCAACTTTTTTTCACCTTTTAAATATTAACCCTAATTTAGTAAATCTGAGAGACAGAAAGATGATTACCCCTTCCTGAACAGAATATAGTCCCTAATGTGAATTAGAGAAATCTAAAATCCCCAGTTATGAGAGTTTACATAGCAATTCAACATCAAGACCAGACAGGCTGAAAAGAGCAAGAAGAATCTTGTTAAAACCAGTTAAATACCATGTTCAAGAATAGATTCCAAAGAAATATAACAAGGAGAGCATGGTCAGATTCTTCAAGTTTTAAGCAGACATGTTTGGACAGTAATGTATTTTTATTAATTAGCAATGTAGGAATGTGACTATTAGCTATAATATGCAAAAAAAAAAAAAATCTGAATGAACAGTTGAAATACTAGTGAAGACCTTACTCTTGCTCTTTGCATCTCATATTACTGGGAAAAAAATGATAATATGACTACTAATAATTATAAATTACTGCTCTTTCTCGGTCTCTGAGACCAAGCGCATCTGAGAGCTGTAAAGAGCAAGTCAAAATTGCACGTTCAAGGGTTACATCCACAGCATCACAATCAATGTATGTATACAGATACTCAGTTCTGAACTAAGCTTCCTCTAGGGAGAAACAGCAGCTCAAAGGGCCCTAATTCTTAAAAAAAATCAAATCTAACATCTTCAGGAGGTGAAGTGGCAAAAGTTCCTTCCACAAGATCTACAATGCTAATAGAATTTTTCCTACCTGTGGGTTAATACCCTACTTCATTAGATCAATCAAAAGAGAGGCCATAAAAGAATCTATACTCTGAACCACTTCTAAAGAAACAACCGTTGATTCAGATGGCCTTTTATTGACTTTATTTCTCCAAATATATCTTTAAGGAAAGAAACACCATTTTCAGGGGTATTAAATGAATGCAATAGATCACACAACAAATAAAGTCAAGGTTAGTGAAAATAGGCTTATTTGTATTAGCTTTAACCTAGTCCACACAAAAGAGAGCAGAAATGACTTAAGAGTAGGAACTTCAGCACAGAATCATATAATCACCATGGTTGGAAAAGACCTCCAAGATCATCCACTCCAAACATCCACCTATCACCAATATTTCTTACTAAACCATGTCCCTGAGTGCAACATTTGAATGTTTCCTGAACACCTACAAGGACAGTGACTCTACCACTGCTCTGGGCAGCCCATTCCAGTGCCTCATCGCTCTCTCAGGGAAGAAGTATTTCCTAACATCCAATCTGAACCTCCCCTGGTGCAACTTGAGGGGTAATCAAAAAAATACTTACATATTTTTTTAATCCCAAATGAAAAAGAAAAAAATAATGGTTTTAGAACAGAAGTACAGGTAGTCAAATAGAGCCATTTAAGTGGTTAAGAATCACTTTTGCCCAGTTTCACTGCACAGACATTGACTCCAAAGAACGTTAAGTCCCCATCCCTCAAAATAGGGTAGGCTAGATGTCACTTCTACAGCCTGATGATCTACAAAGTTGCAATACATTTCCTTCAGGTTTTGTATCTCTGCTGTTCCAAGACAGCTGAAAATACACTCAGTAAATGACTGCATGCTATTTAGATAAGTACTCCTTCTCTAACCTTCAAAAGCAAAAAATTTTCAAAGAATTTTGAAATTAAAAAAAAATTTATTTCATTTGTCAAAACAGCTAATTTTTAAGAGAAAAAAATACATGCTAGGGAAAATAATTTCATATAATCTTTGACATATGCTTCCAGTAGTGAATATTATTTAAAAAAATTGAATTTTAATGTCACTAATTGAAATACACAAAAGCTAAAAAGAAATAGCATTAATTATTTGACCATAGAACATTCCCACAGTAATAACATGTCTTCATACTGTTTGATTGACTGTCATAATCTTGCTGTTTAATTTGAGAGCATTTCAAAGCATTGCTAGCTATGGGTGAATTTGTAATACTTTGCAAAGATTATATTGTTATTATTAAATATCACTTCTTTATTTAAAAACTACAGTTTGTCCCTTCATTTAAAACCTAACAGCAGAGCATATTTTGGCTTCAGCTGAATACAGAGTTATGCTGTTCTTACATTAATGTGGACAAATATCACTGAGTCTGGTCACCACTTCAGGCAGGGTAGCACTTGCAGTATACTCACCAGTGAGGCCATGGTAAACCCAATGACTTCAATGTAGCCATCATCATGGCGCTGAGGTTCAAAGTCTCTGTGATCTCCAGGGTTTCCCCAGGGCATTGTGCCAGCACAATACCTACAGAAAATTTGGAAAGCAAGCTTTGAGAAAGTAATTTTCCCTGATGGGTCCTGACTATTAGCCTGACTCTCGGCCTGTTCTGATCTCCTCCAATAGAAACCTGAACAAATGTTTCAGGATTCAGTTGAAGGACAATTAATAGTTACACTGGCAAGGACTGAAGAAAGGGGGAAACTGGTCCCTAATTTCTAAGCTGGTACATCACTCACAAGTTTATTCATCATAGTTTTTGGCAGGTTCCTCTACAAGCAAGGAAATGGGAGAAATACCAAACAGGCAACAGAGCAGCAGCATTTTTTTCTCCCCCCTTGGTCTACTCTGCAGATCAGCTGTTGAGCTTCCCTGGCTCCTGCAATTTGCCTGTGTGAAAGTTTCTTATCCCCTCTGCTAGGAAGGCAAAGGGCCACAGACGCAGCCTCAGATCTCCATTTCATCTCTCCCTGCTGACTCATAAGCCCTGGTGGTATAAGAATTGCAAAAGGTTACATAGCTTGAGAAGGCAGGGAGAAATGAACAGGAACAGATGCAGCTGTTATGTCTACCTTTCCTACCATTCAAGGGTGGATGTAAAAGCGATCTAAAGAGTAACAGAAGAAGGGAGACACAAAATAGAAGCTTGTAGTGAAGGCAATGCAGGACTCCCATGTGTTTGGGATTGCACGTGGAACAAAAAGATCAGCAGTCTAATGCAGTAGACTCCAAAGGGGGGTGCAGAAGACAATCCATTGTGGTGTAGGAAGACAATATATTCCACACTATTAATAAAATTATATTTTAAGTAGTGCTATTTCATCTTTGTCACATCCTCTTTTAACTTCTATTTCTGTCTCTTTTATAAAGTGTACAATCTACTAGAACACTAACACACAAATAGATAATAAATACACATTTTCATGCTAAAAAATTTTCTTAATTACCAATAGAAGCACACAGTCAAAGGATTTTGGGGACCACTAGTCTAGAGAGCAGGAGGAAGACAATTTTTTAAAATATAAACATATTTCTATTTGGAACATCTTCTACTATATTGAGAAAAAGAACATTTCTTTCAACAGGATCTATGTTATTTTCTTGAAAAATACTGATATTTTTGTTTCTCACACTGTTTCTAGTAAAGCAGAAGACGAGGCAGCTGTGCCTGGTTTACTGTCTGGTTTGCAGGTTAGGTGCACAACATCTGGAAGCATGTTTGTTAAAACAATATTTTCTACTAGCTCTGCATCACTGGATACCCTTTTCAAAGGAAAATTTTGCTGCATCCCAGGCTCTGATCCTTTTTCGTGCTGCTAATTAGCAGTATCATAAGCAGCTAGCTCTCAGGAAGGCAGCACAGTAGCAATACACTTCCTGCACATCCACCCAACCCAGAACAAGCTGCAGGTTTGTTTTTCTTTTTTTTACTATTAGTAGTGGTAATATTACTTTCTATTTTCTCCAAGCTTCTATCTTGAGCTTACCTGGGAATGTTTAAAAACACTATACACTGGAACTTCAGCTCCTGGATCTTTGGAGTCAGGTCTGTACCATCACACTACAAAGCCAAAGTGACAGAGCACAGAGAAATTGCTGAATGGAGCCACAGACAAGAGAAGTGTTGCTGCTTTGTAACAGCTTTCCCAAGACTTTCCTTGGAATGTGTTGCAAATGTCATGCTCAAAACTGAAAAGTAACAGAGCCATTAAACTCTCACCTCGCTCTCTGCCTTTCCCCACCTCTTTTCACAATACAAAAACACAATTTCCTATACTTACCACAACTTTAACGTGCTTGGATAAATCTCTTGAGCTTCTTTGCAAAAAGTCTGAAAAGGCTGCCTAGAACAGAAACAAGAATAGGAATGGTCATCATTGCCTCCACTCTTTCCAAATTTCTTATCTCACCAGACAGCTCATTACCTAGTGCTATCCTTTTGTTAAACCTATTCTTTCCTGCTTTCAGAAAATATGACTTACGTATATATATCTATTATTTTTAAAGTTATACTTCTCCTTTTGAGAGGTTATGTCCTTTGGAACCCAATGGTATAAATGCAAATTCTTGCTCACATTTATTGCTGTGTGTCATGTGCCATGAAGGCACACGGGCATGCTGGAAGTCATCCTCCGGTAAGCCATACAGTATGCCATGTGCTATCAAATTTGTGTGTCCACTTAAACTGAACTTTAAAATAAAGTATTGTACACATCTCTTCTGAATAAAACAGCATATTCTTTTATTTGCATAATCACATACGAAAATATGGAAATAAGTCACTCCAAATAGCTGATCACTGGCTTCTACTACCCATGACCATACATCCAAGTTAAATCCTCAAAGCCAAAAAGATGCAGGCTAATACTTGGAGCATTTCTCCAGGAAACTCAGTACAAGTGTGCTGCCCAAACACTGGAAAAACTGGAACTCTTTGCTGAGAGTCTTGCGAGCCAGAAGCAGGAGGAGTAAAACGTGATTAGTGCTGTGTCTAAAGGAGCACTATAAAACAATTGGCACTCTCAAACAGGCATATGTGTGTCATTGCCAGAAAGAGGACACATGAATTTTAAATTGCAACAAGCAAAATAAATCGGCATTAGCCCCTTGTGTGAGAAAGTGAGAGAGAAAGGATATAGTAAAACATCCAAGCAAGTAACATCACATCATTCTGTAAAATGAATCACATGAACTCACCCCTGCATAAAACATTTTATTTCTAAATCGGCTGTTGAATTTCTCTGGATTTGCTTCTGTGGAAGGACACAAAGGAAAAACATGAGCACCCAAATAAACTGAGTAGATTCCACTGTACCTTCAGATTCATTCCTACAGAGCTTTTATACACATCACTCAGTAAAAATATGAACATTAACACTTTTTTTTTTTTTTTTTTTTAGTTCCTGCATCCGTGCCATTATCTGCTACCAGATTTCAAACACTGATATTCAATTCTTCTCCTTTCCTGTATAATGAAAGGAGATGGAAATATGAGCAAAAAAGTAACAATAATACAATTTGTTTATTTACCATCATTCAGACGACTTTTCTCCATACCATTTGTGAGGCTTCCAACTCCACCAACATACATTATATTTCTTTAAGAGTTATTAGAAACTCACTAAACATTAGTTCTGCTTCAAAGTATGCATTAAGGTGAAAAAACATCCTGATGCATCACAAAATGGAAATCTAGAAGGTATGCTGGAATTGACATCTCTACCCAAATATCCATGCAGTAAACTATAAAAGGTTATTTTAAATCTATTTAGAGAGATGCTTCATTTTGATTAGACTCAAAGTGACACAGAACTTTAATAGTCCAGTAGTAAGGCCCATGCAACACTTAATTATTCTCCTCATTAAAATAAATGCTTGTTAGTTTATTTTTCTTATCTTGAGCATTTCTGGTTTTCCACTGCCAACCACTAAATCTTATTATATTGCTCTGTCCATTAGATTTAAAGGACCTCAACCATCAGATATCTTCTCCCTGAGTAAATACTTATGGGTGGTGATTAAATTACCTCTTAATATTCTCTCCAATAACCTAAATGGAGTTCCTTTGATCTCCCAGCATAATGTTTCTCAGAATACAAATCATTTTTGTGCCTCCATGGGGACTGCTATCCTAGTCTGCAGCATCCAGAGATTTAAGAAACGGTCCTTCTGATACTGTATTCATTGATAGCACAGTGAATCACCTATTCTTGCTCAGTGATCCTCTAGCAAAACCATCCAAGCGCTGGCCCAGTTCTTCTGGCTAAAGCATCACACTGTTGTAAACACTTCCATATTACTTCTTCTCAAACAACCACTTGAAACAACTCATCTAGTTTTAAGTCACTACATCTCACAATATAATGCTCCACTTCAAAAGAATGAGCTACTTCATTTTCTGTGTGATTGTTTACCCACCTTTTTTATCACCCTTTTGTTGCACTGCATGGGTGAGCCTAGCATACATACAGGGTCACCTTTTCTTAATACTATTAATTTAATTGCTAAGTAAACCTCATCTTTTATTCACTTACTGAGCTGACAGCTCTTCACAGAAAGTCTCAGAACCCCATGCTACAAAGTGGGTGAGTCCTGAAGGCTCAAATAAGTGCCCATGGTTCACGTTCAGTGATGTGGAAATCCTTGATGGCAAAAGCCACCAGGGTGTTGGCTGCCACACGGATCTTGTGACAAACACTGACCTGAACAAAAGCCCCAGTTTGGAATCAGCTAAGCAAGAAGAAGCCTTTCCATGGTCAGGGACTTAGCAGTCTTTCAAGATACCAAACCGCTCCTACATCTGACATGGCAGATGAGTAGGTGTAGGGAGGAAACACTCTTTCTACTATGTGGAATAGAGCTTAAATTTGACTTGAATGCAATTTTGATTGTAGAAGTAAATCACTGACTGCATATCCAAGGCTCACTCCATCCTCAACCTTCTCAAGCTCACATCAACAAGAGACAAAGTAAAGTGCATATTCCCTGCTCTACCAGAGCATAAACATTATGAAAGGGGAAACTGTGACCTCTAGAAAGATTTTCTACCAAGAAAGCTTCCTGAAGGAGAGCTAAATGCACTGGGCTTGGAGCCAGCCCTCAAGTCTCAATCTCATTAGTCACAAGAAAAGTGCAGAGGTTGCCAGGGAAAAGGCCACATTCACACAGAGGTTCCTCTGAGACATTGCAATTACTGTTTAGTTAAAATATAACAATTGAGCAATTTCCACAGCATAAATGGCCTGATACAGTGAGAATTCAAATCAATCTAATTTATTTTGGATTCCCTTCGTGGGGGTCTAAAAGAATAGTTCTGTTTTTTTATGGTGTTGGGGAGAGAGAATGTTCATTGAATGTTTTTTGTATGCTTCTTTTTTTTTTTTTTTTTAATTAAGAACAAAAATGTGTGATTTTAATAGCCCCACATAAACTACATACATACAACTAGTTCTCTTACTGGGTCAGGTGCAATGGTCATGCTAGTGCTACAGGTTTTGCTCAAATCTTCTAGAGTTTATCTGGATTTTTATCAGTTGTAGAAGATATCATAATCTGTTCTGCTTTACTTGATTCCACATGAAACACAATAAAACCCATGCATCAGCAACAAAAATATAAGCTTTTATCTCCTAAAACATTGAGAAGTGACTTTCTATCTTTTAGCATTTGAGTTGATAGGAAACACCAACAGAATGACTTGTAAGAGCAGACATTTATACTACAAAAAGCTCTCCTAGCCACATACCCACTCAGACAGACAGCTTGCACTGCCAAGTATTTTTTCACCAATGTAAATTTTTAAAACACTGGCATCTCTGGAATAATATTCATTCTTTATAGGGTACCATAACTTCATTACTAAGTAATGCCTCCATTAAGTGAGAAAGTAGCCAAGCACAGTGTATTCACAGTCACATTAGCAATGCATGGCAATATACATTCATAAAAAAATAAATGCATACAGCTGTCATCATTTCATTTCTACACCCTTTTGTGGCCCCTCGTTATTATTCTTGAAGCTTGAAGCAGTCTTAAACATTATAAAATATGCATTAGCTCATTCCATCATGCACTCTGCTCTTTATTTAATATGGCATTCAGGTGCCATCTTTTCATTTTGCGATGACACTTTGATAATATGAAAATGAAGATAAGGGAGGCTGCCATTCAGAAGAAAAGCATTCTTATGAAGCTGAAATGACCAAAAAGTGAACACAAGCAATTGGAGAAGGTCTGTTTACACAGGCATGCTTGCCTAAACCACACAAATCTTCACAGTTCACATCACTCCAAAGTCACACTTGGGTTGAGTGGTATAACTGCCATCAGCAAGGGGACAAGCAGGATGCTTCAACAGCTCAAATTGCTGACAGTTTGTGGACTTCATTAAAGCCTTTCATTTCCAGAGATACGTTCTGGGTCTGTACCAAGTCCAATGACATTATGTTATATTCATCCATAGGAAACAGCCATTCGGTTTGAGAACGCAGTTATCCTTCTGCAACTCTGCTTCTCTCACAGCCCCACAGATCTTCTCCTCCCTCCACTTTCACACTGTTGGGAAAACTTGCACCTGAATTACATTTGTTCTTTCCGCTCTTGCACTGACACTTGTGCCAGTAAATCTCCTTTATGTTTGTACTAGGTTTCACTTCAGAAGGTCAAAAACTTTGAAAAGCTCCCATTTTAGTTCTTTTCTTCCAGTGGATTCCATTTTTTCTTGTATTTTCTTTTTCTTTTTGAAATTACCAAATCTCTTGGAAATTCACTATAAAACTGATACAATTGCTTTCTTCCTACTTGTGGTTTGTGTGTTCTAGCAATCTTCCTGAATTATAAGAATTCAGAAAAGGGCATTAAATCCAAATCTATTTGTAATTTATAAAATAATTACCCAAGGCTAAGGAAGTAAAACACTCCTCTTACCTCTGGATTCATGGAACTCCAGTGTAACATGTGCATCAAACCCAAGGCTGAAGTAATTATTGAAGACATTGAGCGGAAGCTATAATTAGATAATAGAAAGACATGTAAAAGCAGCACAGATTAAATATTCCGTGCCCCACCAGGAATTAACTATTTTAAATTTGGCACCTCCTGAAAGCCTAAAAAGAAAATGGGAAGTGTATGTAAGAAGTTGTTCTTCTAAGAAGGCTAGTAATAGCTTGTGGGAGATGCTCCATACAAAAGATAGAGAATGCAAACACATTTACTGAGCTTTATGATCGTAGAAGTATCTTTGCAAACGTATTATAAAGTTCCTCATTTACTTTCTCATTGAGATTTTCCAGAGCATTTCTCCACTTAACATGTCAATATATAGGTTTTCCTAATTGCTTGGCACTTCAAGCTCAGCATGATGAATAAAACTCAAGCTGTGTTTTTCTTGCTTAATATATAACCAGGAGCAATGCAAGTGCCAGACAAGAAGCCCTAATTTTATTGAGGATGCATGAGATAGCAAAGCACACATCTGGCCTCTTCATCATTATACTGGCCCAGCAGAGCTGTACAGAGAGAAGAGCAGCATCCAATAAATAAGCTGGAAATTCTAACTGAAAAGAGGAAATTGGTGCATAGAAATATAATATATTTTTTTTAAATGTCAGTGACAGATTCAACATCACCTGCCCTATATGACTTATCAACGTATATGTGATCCCTTCACACAGATTTTCCCAATCTTAAACTCTCAAGAGAGATGATCTCACTAATGGAGACTCACAGACAAAGACGTTAAATCCAAAGATACACTATTCTTAGCTGTAAAGAAGGGAACAGTTAGTATTTACCAGCAGAATCTTAAGTAATATTTAAATTATCTGTATGTTTTTAAATGTGTCTCAAATTTAGGAATGAATAGTGGTCACTGGGTTCCTTCTTCCGCCACCCTTGTTTAAATGGAGGGAAAACAATGAGATGCCATGGATTTTTACCAGGATTTGGTTACTGAGACAAATGCTCAAAGTCTGAGTTACAAACAACAAATAACATGGCCAATACATACTAAGGTTCACATGCCCCCGGACACATTGGAGAATAATAGGAAAAGATGCAATAAGAAATTGAAAAGGTTTTAGAGCTTCAGCACTCACGCCTCTCATGGAAGAGAGAAGAAGAGCAAAAATGCTTTTAATTATACTATAGTTTCCCTAGGGAAAAAAAGGCTCTAACCTTACGTGACCCATCTTCCAGCTCATCCTGTGGCAAATCTGGGTTGCGCTCAACCTGGAGATTCCATCGATCCAGCTGGACAATGGTCCCATCTTCTACATGACACAAGATCTTGGACACAGGCTCATCTGTGTAACCCTGGCAGCAGAATGAGTGTCACCAAAGTATCAGCCGTGGATAGCCAAAGAAAAGCAAATCATTCACCAATTAACTGGAAAATCTCCTTCCTTTCATGCAGATCTAAAACAGCAGATTAAATGTTCTTAAGAACATGCCAAATTATTGCTAGATTTTGATATAAGAAACAGTCAGATCAACTATTACTTAAGAACACAAATTTTGGACAGGCATGGTAAGACTAAGAGAGGAATTCAAAGCATATTTGCCTTTCATGAAATAAATCCAGTGCTGTAGTCAATGAAAACTATGGAGAAATAAAGTTCAAATAATACTTAAGTTATAAGTTCGCGTACAATTCTCACTACTTGGCCCGAAATACCAGACAGATACAGCACTTTTTTATTACAACATTTACATTACTAATAATTCAAAACATGAAACTGGAAACTGAAATGAGCTGTTGTGTCCATGTGAAGCAGACCTTGGGTAAAGCCCCGTCAGCTATTTTAGCCAAAAAGAAGTTTTATGCTACTACACCACTAAATCAGAGCAGCAAGTTGAGGACCCACATGTAAGAGTAACCCCAGTCAGTGCTTACCCCACCCCAGTTGAGGGTGCGGGCAAGGTCATTCCCAGTGCCAAGTGGAAGGACAGCCACAGGAGGCTGGGGAGTGAGTTGCAGCTCATCTAGGATAGAGAGGATCCAGCCAACCTATAAAACCAGAAAAACGAGAAACTGTTGGTAAGGAAGATTAAAAGGGAAGGAATGGAGAAGAAAGGCGTGTTTTGACTGTATTGCCATCGTAGAAAAGAACAAGTCAAAAAATAAAGAAATAAATAAATTGGAAAAAGAAAAAACAATATATATAAAAACTCTACAGTTGCCTCATCTGAGATTTTTCCTCCCAGAGAACTGAAGAATCTTCATGGAGCTCCTGTATAAAGAGCAGGAATAGGACACAAATTCTGTCTATTGTTAATAGCACACCAAGATCCCAAAGAAAGGGAGCGAAAAAGTTTCTGCCTAAAAAACTGTTCTGAAAAAGATGCTTTGTTTAGATTAGTTTAAAAAAAATTAAAAATAAAAATTAAAAATTGGTGAGAATAATACAGACAGCTTAAGATTAAAATGTTGAATCATTCTTATACTAAAGAGGAAAAGATGCAAGAGGTACTTTAGAAAAGCATGTTCTGAAACACGGAGTCCAGATCAAGTCAAGTAGAGACACACCCACAGGTCTCCCAATACCCAGAAGAGACACTTTAGAGCTGAATTGTTATGCCCTGAGCAAAGCAGATATATAGAATTATAATTACAGGGCTAGAATAAAAGACTATAATACTCAGGGCTGAAAACTGTGTGTTGGGAAAATGAACATGGATCTTTTTGCCCCACAAGCGATTGATTGAGAGCTGGATCTTCCTCTCTCTCTCATTCTCTCTCTACTCCAGACCACATAAAATTTTTCAAAAGGAATCTGACATAGGAACAAATTAATGTAAAATATTTTACTTGTATTAAAAAGCATTTTCCAACAGGAAAAGGAGTATTGCTGAAAATATTCTCAAAATTTATGTGCCTGAAAATCTTGCTATAAGAAAATAGCACTATTAGATTATTTCTCAACTTGAAAAAAAAAAAAAAAAAAAAAAAAACTATGAAAATGTCATGCATTTTGAATAATTTATTTTAGAAATACAAATATAAATTAGCATACAAATAAGAAAATAATGTCTATTTTTTTCTGATGTCAGTGTTCATAGATTGTATCTTCACTAATATTATGAGTTTTTAAATAAGACATAGAACTGAATGACAGATTCTACCTGGACAGGACTTTTCCACTCTCAACTAATACTTCTGTGATTTCAGATAGATTCTTAGCCCAAACTGAAATGAAACTGGGCTTCAAGAAAACAAAACCTAGGTATTTGGTACTGCAGCTTGAATTTGAAGTACTGGAGAGGGCGGTGGTCTGATAGAGGCTGAGAAAAAGCCAACAACCACCATATCTGATATTCTAGAATAAGTCTCTCCCCATGTCTCTTCATGGAAAAATTAATTTTATATAAATATTATTTATTAAACAGTTACTTACCATAACTCATTGTCCAATTATTCAAGTGTCTATGTGGGATGTTATCTCACATCACAGATCGTTGTCTAACAGTGACGTGAATAACTAAAAACTTTCATGAACCTGGATGTTACCAAAGGTATTTAAGCCTTTCATAGGTTCTATGATATGACTAAATAAAGTCCTTAAGGGATTGTCAGAGATAAGTCATCATCTAATTTTTGTAAGCTAGTCCTCTGGTATTGTGAACAGGAAGACAGGGAAAGAAGTCCCAATAATTCCCACACGGCCAAGACTCGTTAAAGAGTCCTTTGTCTTTGCCATTGACTTAATCTATACATTTGTGCATTAGCTTGCTAATGGGGCAGGTAGCCTTACAAAATACCAACCAGTTTTGTAAATGCTTTTAACTTTTTAATCAAAATCTCAAATTGCTCATGTACATTTACAAAACTGCTCTTTGAGGTCATTTCTAAACCTTACAGAGTCAAAGATGCTATTTCAGTAAAGGATGATAAAGACTGTCATTTCCCTGTAAAAAGAAGTCTCCTGACTGCTTTGAAAACAAAGTTTTCTACTTATACCCAGAAAAGTAACAGCAAACAGCAGTGATGGAAAAGTTGCAATCAGTTCTGACTCACCTCAATAATGCAAGATAACATCTGGTCTCATTGAATATTCACTAAGTCCATTTGAGTCAGATTTCTCATTTCTAGATGTAATGGCTTTGGGAATAGCTAGATATTAATTTGCTTCAAACTGAGCAGCAGCGAATGTAATAGTAAAGTGCTGCTCTTACCAATGAGAAGGTGCTGCCCCCTGTTGCTTTCACTGCTCAGCAAACAAAGAAACAGAGGATGCTAGGGCTCAGTGTGCTTGCATTTATTTCTATTTTAACATTTTTATAATGAAGATCTTTCTCCTAGGAAAACATTGGCTTCCTCAGACAGAAGCTTCAAACATTTCCAGAAACAGATTGAAAACATCTCTTTTTTGATGCTTTTTGAAAACATCTATTTTTTGCTGAAGTAATACCTCACAAGTTTCTCAAGGATTGTTCTGAATTCCATAAGAGTAATATTTATTGCCCCAAGTACCAGCAAGATGGTAATCAGATCATGTTGTTTCTTTTGTCTTGCAGGGGAAAGCACCAGTATTAATGACCTCTACATCCAGAGTTTCAGAAGTGCTCACAAAAGCAGATAGGAGCTGAGAGTGTGTTCAGCTCACTTAAAAAATAATAATAATAATAATAATAATTAAAAAATGAATAAAAGCCTCATAGTGTGATGTCTATGTACTTCTATACATCCTGGCCAGCCATTGCACCTTGCAGCTACTATAGTTGCAAGTATTACCAAAAGAATGTTTGGGGAACTGAGCTACATGGAGTCTAAAGGTCAGCTTTGTAACTATGTTTCAGCACTCAGTGGTACAGGGTGAGAATTGCTGTATTCTTAAGAACAGGCAAGAGCAAAGCAGTTGTAATTCATTCACTCTTGGCCTCCAAGCCCCAAACTGTAAAGCCTGCCTCCATCTGAAGGTGTCCAAGTCTTCTGAAGATCTGACACTACTCCCTTCTCCAATTCAATTGCAAAGAAAGTACTGAATCTGGAGATCAGTCACAACACAGGCAAGTAGCATGACAGCTTCCTCACAGTGGATTTGTAAAGAGGGTGAGGAAACTAGAGACATTTGATATTTGACTGTACTCAGGCATAGTGGAGACAATAGCAGAGAGGAGTAGAAATTAAGATTAAATGACCCCCAGGCACTGATTTAACCTGCTAGACCCTCAGATCTGTGAAAAATAGTAAGAGGAGGCCGACGATGCTTGTCTTTATTTTTTAAGCTATACTAAATCTATGCATAAAGCAGATAGGATCTAGGACATTAGCACGTAAGAATACGGTCCCATCAATAAGCAGGCCAATCCACATAGAAAAGAAAAATGAAAAGATTTCTTAAGAATAAGGTAGGTTACCAGGTTCTATAGGCATCACAAAGTGGGAAACCTATGTAGTGAGCAATTTCAACTCTTGGCAATGACCAGAGGGCTGCCAGGCACCAGTCACCTACCGTTCCATCCCCACCACAGGCCAGGATCCGCAGGTTTGGCACTTTTCTGTACAGCTCCAGCCTGGCCAGGGAGGGAAAAGCGAAAAATAATTTTGAAAAAGTCAGTACAGCAACGAAGGTAGTTAATATGCAAGTGACAGTTTAACTATCATTTATTTCTCTCTAGAATATTCATTACTATTGATGCAGGATGGAGGAGGAAAATTTAAAAAAAGAAATGGAGCTTTCCTTAACAGTTAAGACAGCCCCTCCTGAGAAGTGTTTTGTCTGTTTAACATGGGAACATGTAACCTGAAAAACCAGATTCTCATTCTTTCTCTGGAGATGACAAAGTCTTCTATTTTCCTCTTATCCTAAGGCAAACAAACGTAAACACTGAAGCTTTAAACCAAATGAAGTGTTTCTCATCATTGTTTCTGAACCGCTGTTTCTGAAGTGTGTGGAGCAAGACAGCTCCTTCAACAAAAAATACAAACTTGTATTTTTTTAATACCACAGAAGGCAGTAACACCTAATGAAACTCTTTGGATATCTGATCTAAGATACAAACAGCAGAGCCAAAAAAAATGCCTGTTCCATCAGTTGCATGAAAGAGAGGCATAATAAGACATCTCCCAGTGGAGGAGATACATTCCCATACTGAGACCTGGTTTACCAAGGATCTAATTCAACCTTCAATCTGTTACACAGCTCTAAAAACCGTCCGTTTACATTTAAGTTTCTATATATCATTAGGAGAGTAGCGGGTGTTTCAGTAGGAAAAACATGTTTGGGTGCTCTAGAAGCATGAATAGAAAATACTTGGACCATACTTACACAGGTAAACATTTGACTTTAAATGATTACCATCTTTCTGTACTAATGTCAAAGGAGCACTGAGCAGACAATTAAGTAAAGCAAATATCCCTACCTCAAATACCACAGAAGCAAAGTTTCTATACTCTTAGCAGTGAGAATCATCCCTCTAAAGGCAGGTTCTCTCTCCTTCAGGAAGCACTCACCCTGCAGTAACTGCCTAGTTAATGAGTGTCCGTTACTCAGCATGCAAAGATAGCTGCATGCTTCAGTCACACATGGAAATCTAAAGGTAGCTTCACTCCATTAAAGATCAGCCACTCGGGAATGGTCAAGCACTGTAGGATCTGCAGTCCATGGGCTCTACTGAGATTTAGGCATAAGGTACTCTTCAATGAACTCCTTGTTTTGACTATGCGAATCTGATCACCTATGTAATAGCTTTCAGTCACTGTTTTCCTATAATGTGATTCTATACCTAAGAACGGCCTATTATTTTCTTTTTCTCTGCTTACATCACTTGCTGTGAGTCCTCCCCACAGTCACATAATAAAAGAAACAAACGAAAAAAAATCTGACCAATAGAGGGTGCTCCTTAGCAAATGTAAAAGATTATATCTGAAAGCAGCCATACCTTTCATATGTCTAGTTTAGTGCTAGTGGTGGCAATGGCGATGAGGAGATGGTCGGACTAGATGATCTTATAGGTCGTTTCCAACCTTGTGATTCTATGATTCTATTATTTGATCTATGTATTCATAGAGAGCATAGAACCCATTCCCATCTTACTTTACATGAACTGCTTATCTCAGGAATATGTATCACTCAGAATACTATAAATCTCAAAAGATTTCTATCTCAACTCCAGATCAAAGCAGATTCAGTGCTGAGACCAGACCACATTTCTCAGGGTTTCATCAAGCCAGGGCTCAAAAATCTCCACATACAAAGAGAATCCAATCTAATGGGTAACTGTCCTAGAGTGAAAAAGTTTTACATCTATTTAGATGTAATTATTTACATCTTTTTTTTATAAAAAAAAAAGTTTTTTTTACATCTATTCAGAACTTCTCTCATTTCTACTGTCTCTTTGGACATTTTGCCCACTATTTCTTGCTCCTCTTGCCATGCTGCTGTAAAGGGTCAAACTGTCTTTTCAGCAACATCCCCAGTAGGTATCCAAAGCTGCTGCCCAAGCCTGCTCTTCTCTATACTTCAGTGGAATTAGAGATATAAAGGACATTCAACTGCAAGCATCTATTCTAGGAGACTCTAATACAGTCACATAGAGCTCTTCTCTATACACGTGCTTAAGATCTTATCTGAACATGCAGAGGCATTTACATAGGCTTATCTATATGCTAAAACTTTGATTCTGTATCACAATTTGGATCTTTGAAAACCCAAACCTATCAAAATGATTAGTCTACCAACCTATCCAAGCTAGATGTTTCTCTGCAATCCTAATACAAAAACAGAGCTGAGTGCCTGAAAACTTACGCATCTTTTGGCCCTTCCTGAGAGAGATCAAAGACCTGGCGTGGATTCAAATACCACATAAACATTTGGAGAACCTTGGTGCCCTGGGAAAAGAGAAAAATCGAAAAAGGGAAATTATGAATAGCATAATGATTATTAAAAATAATAGTGTTCATATTTGGACTGCTTTTCTTCCCTTTATGCTTTATAATGCAAACACAAGCCAAGAAAAAAATCAAAATAAAAAGGGTTGCAGCCAATGATAGCTCTATAAAATAGTGACTCAGAAATCCATGCAGTGTACACATGTGTGCTTATAAATTGAATTGAACAATACAGATCATTAATGGTATAAGAGTAGGCACTTAGAGTCAGACAAAGGTTTTTCTCCCACAGAAACCTGTTCTCTCATCACCTGCAACAAGAAAGATCTGTTATCCCACGCATCCTCAGACTGTTATCTGTGACAGCAATAAGCTTAAGAATTTTGTGGGCAAAATTTGTGGGTCACAGTGAAGAGTGTCTTGCCCAACATCCATGTAATGATGCTGCTTTGACCTCCAAAACTATCATCACAAATATTACTAACTATGAGCCTTTACTGCCCTGAGAAGCAGCATCCAAGGACTCCATGGGCTGCAGCTGCACCACTCGCTCAGTGCAGATTGGTCAACACTTCACCAAAAGGTCATCATACAATAATGTAAAATTACATCATATTTAGGGTAAAATAAGTCTAGAACTTCACTACGAATCTAAATTTCCCATGGAAAAATGAGGTCTTCTGAAAATCTCCAAACTACCATTTCAGGTTCCTATCAAAAATCTGAAGATATGAAGGCCAAATCTCAAATATTTAAATATCCTTTCTTCCACTTCAGTGGAATTAGAGATATAAAGGACATTCAACTGCAAGCATCTATTCTAGGAGACTCTAATACAGTCACATAGAGTTCCTCTCACTCATGACTGACTAAAAACTATTCTTATTTGCAGAAAACAGTTATTAAGCTTAAACTTTGTTACCTGGATCCATATTATGACCTTACCTGGTTCCCTCCACTTTTTGGATTTACAAAAACCAACAGTGGTTTCATGAGTGGAGAGGAAATAGGCTTTATCACAAATGGTCGACCTTTGTTATCCTGGGAAAACACAGCAAGAAGCAACTTTAGTAAAAGTTAGGAAAAGGGTAGATTTCACTGGCATATCACACATAGAAGACCCAACATAGCTCTGACAAAACTACCTTGGATATTAGAAACAGTGGAGCCATGATAACATGATGCTCAGCTGAGACTAAATTCATGCAGCTGAGAAAATTACATAAGAAAATAAGAAGGAAAAAACTGGTCCAGGTCAGCCCCAAATTTTTTTTTTTACTTTATATTCTTTCCCAAAAAGAAATTATTCATACAGTCCTAATAACACGTCAGATATAGTGCTATTTCTAATATGAATTATATTTTTTTCCAATAGAAAATGGAATGAGATAAACTACTTACTTCCTGACTCCCATTTAACAGACAAATTGAACCAGTGTTTAGTTGCAGATTATCTGCTCCTATATTCTTGGTGTTGATGGCCCTCCTTCTTTGAACAGCTTTTATTTGTATTATGTGATTCAAATATTTCTCATTGCAGAATCACAGAACTGTAGGGGCTGCAAGGGACCTCTAGAAATCATCGAGTCCAACCCATCTGCCAAAGCAGACTCCCTAGACCAGGTTGCAAAAGTAGGCATCCAGGCGGGTCTGGAAAGTCTCCACAGAAGGAGACTCCACCATCTCCGTGGGCAGCCTGTTCCAGTGCTCCACCACGCTCATTGTGAAGAAGTTCTTAATTTGTGCAAAACTTTCTATGCTTTAGTTTGTGTCATTTCCCCTTGTCCTATCACTATGCACCACTGAAAAGAGTCTGGCCTCATCCCTTTGCCTCCTGCACCTCAGATATTTTTATTAAGTCAATGAGAAAAATATCTGCCTCCCAGCTTCTCTGTATCACTAGTACATTAAAGAGCCCCGTAATGAGGACACTCTCCTGGGCTGAGGCAGACACAGATTGAAGTTTCTGGTCTGCAGTTACCCAATGCCCAAGTGAGGATCTTACCCACAGAGCTCTGTCTGGGCAGAGGTAAGTCTCCATCCACCTCTCCCCTTAAGGCTGTCATTCAGTATACCACTTATACAGTAGATAAGAGCTGGAAACAAAGTCTTCTATAATCTACATAGTAAACCTAAACATAGGACCAAATATCCCCAACAGGAGATCTCCCAAGGCAGACTCTCAAAGCAGATATTCAAGCCAACTCCATATTCAGATTCTTGCAGTCAACACTCACAAACCACTTTCACATTCCTGCTCTGCCTAGTTGAAACCAAGTGTTAGAGCTGAGTCTTTTACACCCCAGGGGAATACTGTTTCATTAGGATGCTATACTGCTTCTTGAAAAAAAATCAACTCAGCAAATGACACTTCCCATACAAGTTTTTATCAAAACTAATATTTTCTCGCAACTTCAATAACATGGAGTTTTCCAGCAAAAAAAAATATATATATATATATATATATATATATATATCTCAAAAACACAGTAAATGGAACTTTAAAATCTGCATTTATACATTCAAACAAAAGGAAACTTGTTTTCAAAGCTCTTAAATACCTACATCATTGCCTCTTTTGCTGGCTTTTCTTTTAAAAGACGTCCTCTTCTTTCGCCGTGTTGAAGTCTTTAATGAGTTCTACATTAAAAAAAAATAAAGAAAAAAGAATACATGAAAAGCAAAACAAAATTTGGAAGACAGGCACAGACAGAGCCTCTTTATGAAGCTCTTCCATGCATGTCCACTTGGAGAATGATAAGAGTATCTGGCACATGCTCAAGATTTAAATCACATGCGCTGCATGCTTTACACTTCCACACCACCGTTTATGGAGAAAGCCACACACGGAGACCAGACTGGTGCTTTGGAACTGGAAACTTTCCCACGCTGTGAGGGGGAAAAAAGATCAGATGCTCCCATAGACTCACATAACACCACATGTTGTACCTGCCAACCCTCCCAATAGGGGTAGGAGACGCCCGTTTCCCCTTCGGGGCTCCAGTCTCCTGCCCAATCAGTCTCGTCTCCTGGTATGGAGACCCCCTGCATAAAGATGTAATAAAAAACATGATAAATGAGATATTTTTCATGTTTTTTTAGGAAAGAAAACAACAAGTTTTAGCTCTGGCAACCATTATGACTCAATATAACATAGGCCACCACGGCATATTAGGCTGGCACTGCAGAGTGAGTTCCAGCCCTATCAAGAAGCTTGTGTAATCATCCGATGAGGAACAATGTGAACTGTTAGTAATTAAGGAATCAAGCTTTTTCCCAGTTGTTTGCTTTTTCAACAGCAACACTAAACTACAGAAGAAAACGCAAAACTTCTTGTATTTTTGCAGAACCTAAAAAATATGCATGAAAACTATTCTTCAGGCAGGCAATAGCCTAGTTACTAACACCGAACCGTAAAGGTCTTCTGATGTGATAAAAACATATCAAAAAGGGGATATAATTTTTTTTCCTTTGGTATTCAGTACCTGAAATCATATCCACAAGAAATACTTGGTCTACGATTGAGATTTTGTATTACAGGAAATACACAGGAAATTAGAAGAAAGTTAATTGATTTTTTTCTGGCTTCAAGAGGGGAGCAAGATCCACCCAGCTCATCCAAAAGGTCATTTCTGTCATGATGCTATTCAAAAGTGTGTCATTAATGAGAATAAGTTAATGATCAGAGATCACCAAGTCTATATGCAATGATATCTGTCCCTACTTAATCCTGCTCACTAACATGTAATGCCATTACATTAAGGAGAACAGTTACTAAAGTCTCTTGATTACCTAACAACTGCATTCAGAATTCCAAAACTTTGATCCAACACATCAGGTACAAAATTTAGGTTTTCCTGACTTCTCAGAAATGTGGAAAACTGTAACAGCAATCTAACTCAAATATCTAAAGAAACTATTATCTCCTTTTGAACCCAGACCAAGAGAGGTCTGCTGTATAGCAGAGCCACAAACTTATATCACCTCCCAACATTCCTTGTGGACTGTTGTAGGCGACTGCAAGACCCCCCCACAGGATGTGATGCGATAGGCCCTCTCCCTGCTCTATGATTGATGTGTGGCACGTGCCCTTAGGGGCGTAGATGAAGCACATAGGTTATATAAGCTAGAGTTCACGTGTAATAAAGGCCATTTTGCTGTACATTGTATTGGTGTGTGCGTGCAGTCATTTGGTCCTGGCCTGGTTTTAGGTCAGTACCGTAGGAGGCAATGCAACAGTGGACCATTATATATTTATGCCTTGTTGCTTACTGAAAATACTGAAGACAATGTGGCTCAGTAGAGCAATGCCAAGGCACTTGCCCTATTAGGGCACAGTTGGAGAAAATGTCTAAGGAGATGTTCTTATTCTTCCCTACTCTGATACATGAAAAGTGATCTTGAAAGCATGATAAATCACAAAGACTGCACTGACAACAGAAGTGAATGAGTAGTCTCAGCTTCACAGACTTTCACTGCCCTACTTTAGGAGCCAGACCGAGGGTAGACAAAAGTCTTTATATCAGTATAAAGGCACAGCGCATTGCCCTCAAAGCTCCAGCAGTCAACTGCAAGCAGTGGGGTTCTTGGCCTGTTTTCTCAGCTGCTTTCACAGGTGTGGGGAAAACAAGATAGATTGAGATCCAGCCTATCTGCAGATGTCTGCTATCTGACAAAAGCTAACGGACATACTGAGACTTTTCCTTGGGCTCTAGTCTCCCTAGGTGTAAAATTTAAGATACTTATCCTATCGGTAACATGCAGTGAAGTCTTCTGGCAAATCACAGCCAGTAACTCAAGTTCAATATTATATTAGGATAGTATTTAACTGTATCACCTGAAGAAGGACTGTACTTATTATTCTACTTTCTCAGTGGATGGACCTAAGCCAGTGAAATTATTTTGGAAAAAGAAAATACTGCCTAATTTAAAGAATAATAATAATCAATTAAAGACAGTTTAAGTGTAGTTGTTATTAAATCCCATTATAGCATGGCTCCTTTCTTGCCTATGAATGGGGTGGGAAGAGGCATATAAGCGTGTTAGTGAAAGAGTTTCAGCCTAAGCCTCCACCATAACCTTTTTTCCTTGATTTCTACCCTCAGAAAGGCAATATAATATGCTATGTCACAACTATGTTATTTCACCTTTTTCCTTTTAAAGCATACTTACATCTGTAATGTTAAGGCAACCTAAATCTTTGCTACAATGATGCACATCTACAGCAGATGGAAGGCAAAAAGCTGATTAAACATACGCAAGTTCTCCTTGCAAACATGCAGAAGAATAACAGACAGAAATAATCATCAGTCTTTGCACATGAAAGTGAAGAAATGACTGCGTATTACCTTGTCCACAAAACAAGGTGATGAGTATTTTTACAAACAGATAATGTTATTCAGCGAAATACTTGATAACAAGGCATACCTTTACTGTGCACCATATGTAAATCCTAACTTGCATCTAGAGAGGAAACCTCTCCTTTGTGGATGTCAGTTTGGCCATCTTCAAAGAGAGATGTTTGGTATTATTGCATCATCACTATAGTTCTAAGCAAGTTTAGCTAAATGAACAAAAGAATTGGAGTCCTTTTATGGTGTTGGTTGGTGTAAGGACTGCAGACTATCCTCAACAGATCTAATGAAACTTTTCCACCTTTTCCTTTGCAACATTTCAGTCTTTATTTTCAAAGGCTTTTAACATGCTGGACATCAAATGATGTAAGCAATGAACAGCCTCTGAGAAGGTCTATCTTGACCATCTTCTGGTTGTTCACAAACCACATCTAGGCAAGACAGCTGCAGCAAGCAACTGATGAAAGGAAGACATTAGCCGAGGAGTATAAAGATTACTAGCACTTTTTTAAGGCCCTTGAAGGAGGAGGAACAGAAGAAAATAATATGTTTACTCACCTTGAAAAGAAAAATATAAAAAATTAATAAAATAAAATGGAATTTTACACTTACTGTCTTTGCCTTCCCAAACAGAAGATGACAGATTGAATCAGTAGGTACATCAGCTAGATGTACTCCTCCTCATCATTAATTTTTCTCTCACAACATAAGCACAGCAAGCCCATTCCTAGCACAAAACTACTTGGGCTACCAAATCTCACACATCAGTCAACAAGGGTGGCCTGTTTTCACAACAGTGAGGAGAATTAGGAGAGGGAATTGATTTGAACCACAGGAAATCAGAGATGGTGTCAAAGTGCTGCTAGTACAGTACAGAAATATTGGAAAACAGTAAACTAGTTACAGAAGTATGAATACAATGAAATAGATACTGGGAATTTTCCATTTATGTAAACGGGTCATTACAGACAGGGCTACCACCTAACCCAAAGTTGATTAAACCATTTTGAATATTCATCATGTAGCAACCAATTGCTTGCAAAATGCAAAAGCTCCCCATTTAGAATGTAAAAGGCATGAACAAATTTTTCCTTAATTACATAATCATGGTTTACTGCCACAGCATTCTGGCATTCAGAGGGGGAGCGTGCTGTTTATTCAAGTACAATATTTGAAAGGTGGTGACCCTTGTTGCACGTAAGCATGGAAAAGCATTTTTGTAGCAATAAAAAGAGAAATAAAAATTGAAAACTGGGGCAAGGCTTTGCTACAAAAAGCCACCTTATTTGCCTAAAAGAAACAACCAATAAAAGGATGAAGGCACCACTAAAATCAACTTCATGAGTAGGAAATTCATTTCAGGAGTTGGCCATGATTAACATGAGTAGTTAATTAGAGCTGAGAAAATAATTTATAACCAAGAGGCTTGTAGTCAAATTTACTCCAATTGTGAAATATGTGAAAAACAAATTGCTGCTTACATATATTAATTTACTATCTGAATTCACAAAAATTTTAATATTGTATTTGTATTCTGTGGACTGAATGCAACAATAGTGTTCACCAAGCAGGCATATAGGGTGAAGAGGGCCACAATACACAGGAGAGCTGGCCAGAAACAGCAGGAGGGGAAAAAAATTCCTAAAGAAACATAAGAAAAACAAACAAGACTTCTGTCAAAAAAAAAATCTGAAAATGCATCTAATGTATTAATATTTCTCAAAGCAAATAGATTAATTCCACAAAAGTAACACTGCACAAGATGTTGTTCAGAAATTTTGTGGAAACTCTGCATTGTGTAGGAATATGATTTATCTAAAGCTTCAGTTACTCAAAGTAATTTTTTTTTTTTTTTTTTTTTTTTTTAAGGGCTTGACAAGTGATGAGAGGGAAGATTGGACTGACATACTTCCTCTCCATTTATGACCGCAAAAAATTAACAGACATTTCCTTTAAGCCTAACATTTAAAACATGCATTTAAAGTCTTTTTACCCATGAATAATATTTTTTGACCTTTCTGAAAAAGAAATAATAATAATAAACAAGAGAGTAAATCCTATAAGGAGGACACCCTGCTTTGATTAACCAGTAAATCAAGGGAAATTTTTAAAAGTAAAAGCATAGAAGATTAAAGCAGGGCTTTTTCAATCAATCAATACTTCTGTTTTTATTAATTTATTTATTTTTCTTAAATTAGAGTTCTAGTTTTTAATATTCTTTTTAATATTCTTTTCTCATTTTGTTTAAAAATAATAGTAACTGTGGTGTATTGTAGGCTCACTAAAAGGGGTTTTGGTAAGCCAGAAATTATCAAACAAATTCAGTAATCTTCCTGTTTTTGTAGGAAAATATACTAAAAGGCACATAAAAGGCATTTTTGTTGTTTTTTGTTTGGTTTGTTTGTTTGTTTTTAATGGTGATTTAAAATGATTTAAGAGAAATACATTGGAAATGTACTGGATGAAAAAAGATTCATATTTTCTTATCAGGCCTCTGAAGAGAGTAGCATCTCCAGCCACATAAAACTGGTTCTTAGATCAGCTATATCCTTTTTCCCATGTGCATGGGATGAAGTGTAGTTAAATGGTAAATGTATAGTCAGTAACAAGTGGTATCTGGCCTTTGCCTCATAGGTTATGGTTGTGTGTGTCCTTGAAACAGAGGATTTTAGGTAAAGAAGATTGATTATCCTACCTATAGCTCTAAGACATCCATCTTCTTCCCACCTGCAAGCTACCTGAAGTTACCTGGTCAAAAAGGAGATTCTCATACCTCATCTAAAAGTAATCAGAATTTCCTACAACTCGTTATGCTGAAAATAATTTGTCCAAAATGCCTTCTGATCCAAATAATTTTTGTCATCTCCAAAGTACCGGCCTCAGCCTGTACAGGAGCTAGTCAGTATTTATATCTTTTTGTCTTCATGTAGATGTTCCAGGTGGAAAGCTCAAGGACCCTACAGGTACCCAGTTTCTAGTTATGGACTACAACAGCTATGGCATTCTTCTTAATGGTTCCTAACCCCAGGATCTCTGCTTTATGGATCCATCTCAAGACCCCAAAACCTTGGAGTCACCATTCCTTGGCTAAATGACCAAAGCAAAAGTTCCAGGCACTCCACCGTGAAACCCAGCAACTGAATGTCTTATGACTAATAGGCCATACAATCTTTTTAATGGGGCAGAAAAGGAACCAGTCTCATTTTTGTGCCAAATACCACAGGTGCTGAAAATTAGCCAAGGAGATTAAATCTCTGCTGAGGACTCAAAATTCAACAAGAAAGGAAAGAGATTTCTCTTGAGAAGGCTAGAGTAAACTAATAGAGGAAAAGGAGTGTGGGAAAAATACAGAAATGCCAAAGAGACCTTTTTTTTTTTTTTCCCAGAGGAGAGGTGGCTAGAGACCTTGCATACCTTAAATCTAAAGGAGAAACTGTGATCTCTTTGGTCGAGTTGTTTTTTGGTTGTTTTGTTTTGATTACTCAAATTCTGATTTACTTATTTCCCTCCTGTCTTTAGAATCAAGCCTGTTAGAAATAATGCTCATGCACAAAGATGACATCCATATCCCTAGACTGGAGCTAAAGACCAAACAGCGTCCAAACTGCAGACTTTTTTCTAGTTCCACACAGGGACATTTTGTCTTAGTGCCTTTCCCCATGCTGTGAAATTCTTTGCTTCCTGACAGCCAGGACATGGAGTCAGAAAGCCCTGAGTCACTTCTCATGCTAACATACAAGCTGCACAACATTGTTCAATAACACCAGCATTCCTGTTTTTTCATCCATTTCCTTGCTTCTGAAGTAAAACTTATACCAGCATTTCTGGTTCCTTGATGTGTTCAGTGTGTGTTTGTGTCTTTCAGTTCAACCTGGAGTGAAAAGAGACTTCCAAAAACAACAACAAAAACAAAAACAAAAAACAAAAACAAAAACAAAAAAAAAAAAAACAACAAAAAAATTACTTTGTGCATGATAAGAATCCCCTTTTAATTTTTGGCCAGCTCTCTTTAGGATACCTTCTCTCCCTCACTAATGAATTAACCTCACTAAAAAGTATCACATCTATAATAAAGCTTTGAAGTCTCACCCTTTTACCTGCAACTAAGTGGGCATATGGTCTTACTGTTGGCATTCAGCAAGAACTGATGTGAACAAGACATGATTATTTAACTGTACTTTGGTGAAAAATTCAGAGGGATGCCAGCCCAACTACAGTGAGTTCTTACTGCAGTTCAAGTGAATGTTTGTTACTAGTTTTTCCCTGTATTTGCTCAGCTCTATTTAATGAAGCATGCTTTACTGCCTCCAGCACAGGGGATTTCTTGCAGTACACTAGCTGAAGTCACAGAAGAACACACCTGAGCTGCATTGCTCAGAACAAAAGTCATGTTTGCTGCTTGTCAACCCAAACAAGGAAACCTACTGAAGGGCTGGATGGAGGATACAAGTTCATAATCACCATGAATGTATGCTGGGTTTCAGGGAGAGAGACAGGGTTGAACGAGCATGCCTTAGTGGAGGTGTACTGAGTGCAGAAGCCAGGCTGGCCCTGTGAAGCCATACAGCTTCAGAAACAGACATCAGCATGCAGTTACCTGAGGTTTCTTCACCTTAATGATCCAGGTGGGAGGCACAATGACAGCTGCGTGAGCCCCGAGAGAACACGGCTCCTCAATGTGATGTAGCATGAAGCAGGTGACTTTGTTATGAAACTGGAGGAGAGGAGAAGAGTAGAGCCGATAAGGAGGTCAAGGAAGACATAGTAGAAGCAAGGAGAGGAAAAAGAGAATGAGACTGCAAAACTAGAGCAATGTTCCCAATTCTCTCATCCTCAAACTCTGGGAGCTCTACGAAGGTATAACTAAAAACCACCTTCCTTAGCCATTCTTTATACCAAGGGGAAAAGTTCAAGAAAAAAAAAGGAAAAAAAAATTACTTCTACTTATGTAAGAGCAGATTAAAGACCATAACCCAGCCTGACACACTAAATGCATTAAAAGCCCTTTGGCTCTTTGAGCTGGCAGCAGCATGGTGTTGATGGGAGGTAGCCAGTGACTACATGGGGTAGCAAGACCCTTCTTCTAGGAGGCTTAACGTATTATCCAGATGAAATTATGGCATCTGAGCAAAAGAAAAATGAAAGAGCAGAACTGGTAGTGATTCACTGAGAGAAGAAACTCTGAGAGCCAGCACAATTGAAATCATATGCCTTGAGACTATGCAGTGAAGGTGTTACTACTGCTTTCCACGAATATTATCCACTTACCGCCAGCTTGCACCAGGAACAACTGATAGCCACAATCTCTTTACTATGGAAGGAGAATTTCTGCTGAAAGCCCTACAATAAGCAGAAAAAAATGAGTTAAATTCACCCTGACTACAAGAAAATTTATGTCCTTAATTCTTGTCAGGTAACTGTGCTAGGTTAAACCAGTTCAGTAGACTCACATACATTGGTTCAGCCTCAAAGCTCTTGGATTCCAAATATATTTTGGGAAGATAAAATAGTGACAGGATTGATAGAGAAGGCTCTTCAGCTACAGCATGTTCTCACACACACTTTAAAGATATTTCCCCAAATTTTTGTGCTTTTTATTAAATTTTATAGTTAAAGAAGGAAAGAAGGATGAAGAAAGAGAAGAAATGGCTAATTTAATGGCTTTCTACAGTTGTGACAATCAGATTTTGTGCTGATGTGAACATATTTTCACTGCAGTCTTTTTTGCTTTAAATATAAGTAAGAATTGGGTTTATTAACATTATTTATTTATTTTTAGCATAGAGTGGAATCAACTATAATATCTGGCTGGAAATCTTCCATTTGGGAAATTAAGTTTATTGTTTTATTAAGCTGACTTAGATAAAAATCTTTTTAGTACATTCCAAAAAAAAAAAAACAAAAACAAACCACAAAACCCAAGATTGTCTCACTCAAATCAAATATAAAAATATATACTTCTATAGTTTTAAGGAGAAAAACAAACAAATAAAAAACACCACTACCAGCAAGTATGGGATTTTATTTTCCCACAGTTTAATTTTGTAGAATGACATTTCAACAGATAGATCTCTTTCTTCCATATTCTAAGGCTGGAAAAGACCACTGGGTCATACACATCCTTCTTGCACATAACACAGGTAACAAATGACAACTGGAGCTATGGCCTAAAAACCTGCATTCACTTGAATCATATTTCAATCAGAAAAATACTTGATTTAGGTTAATGTCTGCAGAGACTGAAAGTCCAGCACTTAACCTTCATTTACTCCAACTGAGATCTTTTAAAGATTCTCACAAATCCTACACTTTGTCCCAGTGTATTGAAAAAGAATAGATCAGCCTCTCATCAGCATGAAATGTTTTTTGTTCTGGTTTCTAAGAAGCATGGGAGAAATTTTTATCTCCCCAAACCTCCTCTAATGAAACCTCAAATTCAGTACATTGATTCCACAGCCCGTTAGTGGTATATTTTAAACATGTGGACTGAGCAGCTTGTCTGGTTCTGGATGGATCGTTTCTTATTTATTCAGTAAGCCGGTTGGCTTTTAGGGAGCTGTTAGAGAAAATACACAGCAGTAAAAACATATTAATAATAAGAACCAATCATTCCTCGTTGCTTTACAGTTCTGAGCTAATTCTTCTTCAGGATACGTGTTTGGGATAAGACTGATTTTTGAAAGCTTTTCAAAGCTTTTTTTCAAAGGGAATGATGAAATACAGTGATGGGTTGCAGGTCACAGGGAGATTTTATGTAGACTATTGGGTTGAAACACAGGGGGACCCCATAATTCATCAGAAATTCTCTCTTCTTCCTTTCATCAGTCAGGAAAAAATATGAGAGTTTGATTATCCTACCTTGTCCATGGGTTATGTAAGGAAAGTTTCTGTATAAATTCAGAAGTGTGGCGATGGAAAAGTAATTTCACTTTTCGGGGGATATCAGGCAAACAATTCCTGATTAACCCTGATTCACTGGCATCAGGTTGCTGTGCAACACATGAAATTCCATGCTGTGAACTGCTCCTGTGCAAGTACGCAGTCATGCGTAACAGAGAAAACATGTTTGGAGGAAAAGGGCACCTGAATCTCCAGCTTGCACTGGTGATTGCAATCTGCCTAAATAATTGGGATCAAATCCCCCACTAATAAAGGCTCTCACACACACAGTACAGAGGGATCACTAGCTCTGGCATGTTTTGGTTATATCCTTAGACCTATTTACCATTAAAGATCATTTTCACATCAGTTTAGGGGAGCAGTCATTCATCATGGAAAAAAACAATACAAAGGTGTTTATTCTATTTCTAAGGCTCACAGACACTTTCCAATGTAACATTACTGTATGAGGGACTGGTACTACTACAACTCCAGTACAAACAGTAACAGAAGCACTTAGATGGTGACTTATATGCAATGAAAACAAAGCCCTGCATCCACCCAGAGGCCTGTAAAAGCACTACTAAAAAAAAGAGACTAATGCACAGCTGCACACTGCGTGTTTGGTGGACACATTGCTTTGGACATCATGGAAAGTAAAAACAAATTAAAGGTCTTTTTAATGTGATGGTACAGATGCATTCAGTCTCAGAAAATCCCTAAATTACTAGGAGCTAGTAATTATTAGTTTAGGAACAAAGGGTTTTGCATTCATCCTTAAGCTTCTATTACTGCACGCAGTCATGGGCTGCATACTGGGCCACACGGTCTGATTGCTCTCATAATAAATTATGCAAATTAAAAAAAAATTAAAAACAAAAACAATTACTCTGAAGATCTCAGGTAACAGAGATAATAACAGCTGAGAGCTTGCAAACTAGATTTTCTTCAGATTGCAAGTGAAACAGATGAGCAGAAGTGCAAGAGAAATATTTAGCATAATGAATGGCTTAGAGAACGTGTCTTGGGAGCGATTATTTACCACCTCTTCCAACGTGAGAGCTACGGAGCATTAGAAGATAACAGATGAATAAGAAGGTGGTTCTTCACATAATATATAGTTCAGAAATGCTTTTCTAGAGACTTATCCAGTGTAGCAAAGAAGGTGTACCATAACAATGCTGCCTGTGAAGTGCCTTCTTGCACTGTTTGCATGCCACTTGTTAAAAAAGAACATCATGTTTGTATGCCATGCCTTGCAGCACTTGATGATCTACATCAGCATCCAGCTAAAATGTGATTTCTTCTAACTAAAGTGCCATGCTATGGAGACAAAACACAGTCTTATTAGTTGCTGTTAAGAGGGGATGGATTACAGTGCTAGAGTGAGGAAATTAAATTCAGTGTTAATTTATTTCATGGAATCATAGAATGGCCTGGGTTGAAAAGGACCATAATGATCACCTAGTTTTAACCCCCCTGCCATGGGCAGGGTTGCCAACAACTAGACCAAATTTCAGGTGGTCGTAATACTTCAGAAGACCAATTTTCAGGTTACACTCTTTTTTAAAGCTTTTTAAAAACAAGCTTTTATTTTGCCACACAGACAGTGAATATGAAGCAGTCTTACAAAGTGCAGAGTCTGCTGAGACAGAAAGAAAGAAACAGCCTTTCTTTTTCTAGTAGTCAGAAAAAAAAAAAAACAAAAAGTAATCATAATGTTGGTGCAGAAGATATCACTACAAGATACAACATTGCCACTGGGTTGGCTTAACCAAGAAAAAAAAAAGATCAAGGAGCCACTGTCTTCCTCCTTGCCCTTTTAATTGGACAGTGCAGTGCAACAGCCCAGGACATGTGACAGGCTCATTCTTGCATGGATACAACTGCCTTTTCTATTTCCATATGAGAGTCAGAGGTGTTACCACTCAGTTTAGTCACTTTCTACACAAGAGAGGTTAAGCGTTTAGCATAGAAACAATGTCATCACTGGAAGAAGCTACTGACTACCCTGAATGCCCATGTGCCTGGTGCTTTACTTGTGATGCACAGGCAATCTTACCTTTCCACACTGCTTACATTTCCCCTCCTGCCTCCGTCTGTGTACCCAGTGATGTCGGACAAAGTTCTGCAAGAGAAGAACAAAGATAATGTTATAGGAAGGAATGGTAGGTCGCACTTCAAGGTACCATCCATGGGAAATTGATTTAAGGACATTAAAGGAAAGGACCATTTTTCCAAAGCAATCATTTATGGAGCAAAAGATAGTAGTTCCCCCTAGGATACCCCAGACACAACTGAAACCAGAGGATGAATAAGGAGAAGATGATGTTCTTTATCCGTGTCATCATGTGGCCCAAACTACCCTTAAAAGGAAAAAAAAAAAAAAAAAAAACAAACCCAAACATTACATGACATGCAGATAACCATCATATACATAAAGAGCACAGAAGGACCTGAGGACCAATGTTTTCAGGCACCAACATAGGGCCCCGTTATATTCTGCTCAGAAATACAGCTATATAAAGCAAAAATATCATAAGTCAATGCAGGAGAAAAGAAAGAGAAAAGAAAGTCATTTGGCCACTGAAGTAATTTGGACTCTTTCAGTTTGAACTACTTCCACTTTGGATGGCACTTTTCTGGGCAAGAGAATAGAGGGTGTACAGGACTGCTCTACTCCTGTGTGGGCAAGGGGGTTAGAAGGAGCTTCATCTGCACCTTGCTTTAACACCATCCTGCACAGCAGAGCCCATGTTACTGGAAACTACCTGTGCTAAGAGAAGCTACAAAATGATGCTAACAAAGAAATAGGAGGCTTAAGGG